TCCCCGCCGCCCCCGGCTACGCTCCGGCCCGGCCGCCGGGCTGGGGGCGGCTGCGTCCCGTCCCCGTCCCGTTCCCCCCCCCGCCCTCGCCGTGCTCGCCCGTCCCTTCGCCGGCACCTCCGGGCCCCGAGCGGCTGCGGCCGCCCTTTGTTTCCCTCAGCGCCGGGGACCGGCTTTGGGCTCCTTAACGCCTCCAGAAATCGGCTTGGCAGCCGCGGGGCCTGGTCCCCAGGCTCACGCCACGGCCTGGCCTGTGTCCCCCTGCCTCTGCCCGCAGCAGGGGCCTCGCCGGCGATGCTGCCACCGGTGAGTCCCCAGGGGAAGGTCGTTGTCTTGGGCGACCGCTGCCGGCCCATTTGGAAAAGGTGCCTCGTCCAACTCCTCGGGTCTTTTTTCAGTCCGAGGCATTTTTACGCCTCATTTTAATACACCTGGCATAAACATCAGCAGGGTTACGGAGACAGGGGATGGACAACGTGTTGGCCGAGCTCGGGGGGTGGCGGGGGTGTTTCGGGGTTCGTCGCATCCCCGTTCCTTGCGGACGGGCTGCTGCGTTCGTCCTAGGGTGGACGGGCAGCTGAATAATGGGTCCGGTGCTGATGGAAAGAGAAATAACGCTTTCTAGTTCTGTGCTGCTGGTGAAGTAGAACTGTTAACGGAGGGAACGAATACTGAGTGTTTCGGCCCAAAGGTAAATAATCTTCAAATGAGCGTAACCTGTTAAAACACAGCTTTTGTGAGAATTTCCTAAACCGAAGAGTAGCAACCCTTCCGATTTCTAAAACGCAACTTAACTTTTCATGGATTTTGTCTGTTTGGTTTTTTAGATTCCCTCTGAAGGATTCAAAGCGTCTGATTCAGTGGCTAAAAGCTGTTCAGAGAGACAACTGGACTCCCACCAAGTATTCCTTTCTTTGCAGCGAGCACTTCACCAAAGACAGTTTTTCTAAGCGGCTGGAAGACCAGCACCGGTTGCTGAAGCCCACTGCTGTCCCTACTATCTTCCAGCTTGTAGAGAAAAAACACGACAACCTGGATTATGTCAGAAGCAGAAGAAAAATAGCAAGCCAGGTGCCACTGCAGGATGGAGAAGACCCAAGGGAAGGAGGCCGTGAGGTAGTTCAGAGGACCTCATCTTCTGGCCAGGACTTCATGGTGATGCAAGGGACAAAAGAGATGGAGGAGGTGACTTTGCAAGCGGAAATCGGATCGATGTCTGAGGAGGAAGAGAACCTCTGCAGCCAGCTGGATGGCCCTCAGAGAAGGACGTTAGGTGATAATTTGGTTGCTAAGCCTGGACCTCAGAAAAAGCCTGAGAGATCTTCTGTGGAGGACTGTCCTAAAGCCACCTGGACGGGGAGCTGGGTAGCAGACAGAAGTGGTGTGTCGGTTGACGACTTCACGCCTCCTGCCTCTGGTGCTTGCAAGTTCATCGGCTCCCTTCATTCTTACAGCTTTTCCTCTAAGCATGCCAGAGAGAGGCCGTCTTTCCCAAAAGAGCAGCTAGAAAGGAAAAGGCCAAAGAGAGACGTGGAACCAAGCTGCAGCAGCCATCTTATGGGACAAGACAAGGCCGTAGCAGAAGGCTCCCCTACTTCATCCCTCACTGCGACCCCTCAGAAACCTTCCCAGGGTTTGTCGGCATCCCCAGCAGACCTTACCCCTCAGCCTGCCGCTGAGGCTGTGGTGGGGCGGAAGGGTGACACAGATGCCAACCCCATGTCAATCAACGAGGTCATCATGTCGGCATCAGGAGCTTGCAAGCTCATCGACTCCCTCCACTCGTACTGTTTCTCCTCCAGGCAGAGCAAAAGTCAGGTGTGCTGCTTGCGTGAGCAGGTAGAAAAGAAGAACGGGGAGTTGAAACTTTTGAGGCAGAGGATCAGTCGCTCTGACAGTCAAGTCAGGAAGCTGAAGGAGAAGCTAGATGAGCTGAAGAGGATCAGTTTCCCTTACTTGAACAGCCTGCTATCCCGGGACTGTGGTCAGTATTCCCAGTGGCTTTGCGTTGAGGCAGAATTCACCATTTTCTTAGCAATAAGAGTCTGTTTAAGTTAGGGGTTGTAAAGATGTGATGTGTAAAAGATATGAGGAAGGTATGTTTTTTTGGAAGGAGTAGTAGTAGCTTGCATTAGACCAACAGATAGAGGTGAAATAATTAAGTTTTGGGGCACAGGAACTATTTCTTATATCCCAAAAGTTTCCAAGGTGATTCCTGGTGCGGCATGGGAAACTAGGTCGAGGTGTTGCAGACAACTATGTTGATGAATTTTTTTTCTTCTTCTTCTTCTTGGATTATTTTAACTTGTTTGTGACTCAGTAGCACCTGTTAGGATTTGCCTGCCTTTGGAGTGTGCCCGTGAATTTTTTTGGTGTGTTAATGAGCTGTCATGGGCAGCAGGTATCTGAGAAAGCTGTTGTAGTCTTCTCCAGTGATGTAAGAAGTACTTCTGATCTTAGGTTTCATATACTGCACTCAGTACTCAGAATATATGAAATATAAGTGAGGTGGTGGGTATCCAATATGACAATGTCATGATACACAGCAAGGTCACTTTTTGTGATTGAATGTCTGTGTGTGGTTTGATCACTTCCTCCCTTGGAAGGCAGAAAAAGTCAGGAAATGGATGATAAAGTAGGAAGACATGGAGAATGACTTCTCTACTAACTAAAAACAAAATTGAGATACTGGAAAATGTAGGGGAACTCAGCAAGGGACGAGGTTGCTAAAAAGGTTGTTGCAGAGAAGTCGAATCGGGCCGTAACCCTTTCTCTTGCAAGAAAAAGAGTTCTTTAATATACAGCTGATAAAACTTTTGCACGACTTTAGTTGCAAGATACAATTCGGGGCAAGAGTTTAGGAGCATCTAATGATCTTTGTGTGGCTGCTGAGAAAATGTTGGGTTGCCTTGTGAAGGATGCATGACTTGGGGCTTTCTTGAAGAAGTCGCCAATGGATGGTCAGGTATCCCCTGATGGTAATTCTTGCATATCTTCTTCTTTAGGAGAAGAAACCTCATGGCTTCTTCTAAAGCCTTGTAGTATTAGACATGGCCAGAAACGTGATACTGGCATAGTCAGACAAGTTCTCCAGACTATTATAGCATGGCCTATTTCCTCGCTCAAGTGCAAGAAAATAAACCCTGACAAAATTCTTGAAGGTCAATACCCAATACTACTTTTCCCACATGTTTTTGATTTTCCAAAGTATGGGAAAACTCATGCTTCTATTTGGGTAGAGGGGGGAAAAGAATTCTTTTCCCCCATGGGAAATCGACAGTCTTATTTGTACGTTCTGGTCTGTATTTTTGTATTGTTTTGGTGTCTAACTAAAGAAAATAACTAAATACAATTTTAGGGTTCCATAATTGTCTGTCATATATATATATATATATATATATATGTATGTATATATATATATATATATAAAGGCTGTCTAGCTTTGTTGGAATATCTTCAATGAGATACTAATTGCAAAAAGAGCATCCTGAAGGATGTTTCTCTTTATTCTAGTAAGCGCTATGATTTTTCTTTTCTTTCCCAAAATGGATGTTCTTATACGTATATCTTTTGAGAATGTGAGAGTTACATATTAAGAATATCTTCTATAAGAACTACATATTCTATTTTCTAAGGGAAAATGTCATTTTTTTAAAATGAATTTACTAACTCGTTACCTGTTCTGCTGTTTCATATCAACAAAACTGGAGATCAATATGTGAAAATGAACCATTTCGGCGGTTGTAGCTTGGTGCGATGGGAAGTTCTGATGGAACCCTTTGGCTGATGACTTTTTTAAAGCGTTTGTTGTTGGCTGGCTGGCTTTTTTTTTTTTTCCTTCTTCTTTTTTAGCTTAATCTTGGTGCTCTTCTGCCTTGCATTGCTTTTTGTGTGCTCATAGTAACAGTTTATGGTGGTCAAAATACCTGATGAAGTGCAGCTGACTGCTGCTTGGCAGAGTCTGGTTTATGCTAGACACTAAGTTCTACTGTAATACAAAGCTGAATTGAAGAAAGGCTTTTTGGTATTCATAAAGATACAGTCAGGTAACATATTAGGTTAATAATAATTATAGTCTTTGTTAGTAGCTACATTTCAGTTGTCCTCAATCATCTGATGTGTAGTCGAGGTGATGTTATTAGCTGTGAACCTGGGCCTGCATGTTTTTTTCTTCCAAAGGCAGTGCCTTGGGGATGGGGAGTGTAAGTAAAGTAACCAACTGGACTGACCATGCAAGTTGTTAACGTGTCTGCATCCAAACTCCACAGACTGCGGGACATCTCTTTGCTGCTGCCTGACATTCAGCTGCTTCCACAAAGTTGTGAGCAGAAAAATGAGCTTTAGGCCCACACCCATTAAGCAGACCTTCATTTTGGTACTAGTTCTCAACTGATATTTTCCTCCAATGAGACAAGTAAATTTCTGCTGGCTGTATCCAAAATACAACCAGCTGGAAAGAGCAGGTTTCTGCAAAACTGCTGCACACGCGGTCCCTGCCAGCCACGCTCCAGGATCAGTGATTCAGTCTGGGTGGGTTTGGCTCATGGCATGCTCAAACTGTCACGATGAGCTCAAGCAGTGTTTCCCAACCTGTCTTAACAGGGGGATCGACTAACTGGTTTTAGGAGAAGCCCTGGGCTGTGGCCTGCACAGCTGTCACAGTGACCTTTTCCATGTAAACTTTGAATTTGCTTTCTTGTTTGGTAGGAAAATGTTTCCTTCTGTTTTGTGGGCCACTTCTGAGGTCCGTGGACCAAAGGTAGAGGAATACTTCCAGCAGAGGAGCATGGTTAGGCACAGTGCACCAGGCAGAACGAGGTTAGATGCATCTTCTGGAGAACGGCAGGATGTACTGGGAGAAATTAGGGAGAGCCAGCGAGCAAATACAGATCCAGTGTCCTGGGGAAGGGGAGACTAGTCTAACAGCACTGTCCTCTGATACACAACTACTATCTGACCATCTTGTTCTGCTTGAAGGTTTCGCAGCTTTGCTGCATCATGCTCCCCCAGTGCTAGTACAGACAGGAGATCTGAGATGGTCCTTTCACAAGATCACCTTGTCTTAACGTGCTCAAGTTTTGTCCTTTTGTAAAACTACATCTCCCAGCAGGCACCAGGATAACTGTCTTACCTAATAATGAGATCACTTCCCTTATAGCCATCTTATCAACCCTGCGCAAAACACTTTCTGGTGAGCAAAGGTGGTTAGAGAGCTAGACCTAGCAATAGAAAAATAACTCTGCAAACTATGGCTGGCAATGGAGCAAACGCAGGTATGATTCAATGCAATTGAAGTGTCTGTATTTATCAGAGAGGTAAAGCTGTTAAATTTAGCTGTTTGAGCGTATGTGGAGCCTTTTCCACGCTGCATGTCTGCTTTCATGAAGGTCATATTAAAGGCAGGAGAGTTTGCAGAATGCGTCCATGTGAAAAATGTTTAGAATTTTGCTAGGAATCTGTAGGAAATCATATTTCCTTCCAGCTTAGATTTGTCTTTAAGTATTTGTACAAAGCCAGCATAGAAATGGGGTCATTTATAATACTTTGTACATGTGAATGAAGCATAGTTGGTGAACTTTGGGGACAAGCAGAAGGACTCGAACATTAAATGTCTGGTTTTGTGCCAAGATGGAGTCCTGACGACTGGTCTGTGGGGCTGAGGTGGTGTTTCCTATCAAGGTGGCAACAGGTTTTCATTCATCTTGCAGGAAACAAATAGCAAAATCATGTTCCTCAGTGGTGGTGGTAAGTGGGGTTTTGCAAGGATGTGAGATGCTGTACTTTCATCTGTCTGAGCAGGACTTGAACAGCAATGGGTCCCTCTACAGTTTAGCTTGAAAATTAATGCTTATAATGGATCACAAAGGTGTGCTGTCAGAAAAATAGCCTCTACCAGGGCAGGCACTGCTAACCTGCCAGCTGCATGTTAACTTGGAGCTAGATTTTGGAAGAAAAATGCTTTTATTCTGAGATGGCAGGTGCTGCTTGTGATTTTTTTTTTTTTTCCTGCCTTGTCTGGGATGGGAACAGCCAGGGTAGAAGACTGGTCAATAGAGTAAGCGGGCATTACAAAGAACAAGGGAGCTGTAAAGTAAGCTAAGAGTGACATAAAGAGTAGGAATATGTATGCATAGGTTAATAGCAGGGCTAAATCTGTGGCAGAAGGCATCACAAAAGAGGCTAAGTGAGACTTCATAGCACCTATGGCCTGAGCATGTGCAGCACTGACCTGACATGCAGCAAGTTTGGGACTCAGTTGAGCAGAGAGATGGCTCTTTCACTGCCCCCTTGGAGAGAAAGGTGGTTGGGGGGGGTGGGAAACAAGACTTTTTTGCTCTGCTGTTGCTTTTTTTTTTTTCCCCCAGCGGAATGGTTGTGTTTTTTCTAGGTTTTTTCCCTAATAGCCTATACAGCTTCTGTGTTAAGCATTTAATTCTGCAGTGAGTTGGCAATGACTCACAACAAAAAAACAGCTTGCAACTAGGAAGCAATGAAAATGCTAACTAAGGAAAACTTGTGAGAAAGTAAAACATATTGAGGTAAGCTCAGGTAGGATGTTCATAGTTTTTATAGTAGTGTATAATTTTAAAAATGTTTTCTCTGTTTTGTAGTGCAGGAGAACTCTGGCAGTGACTACAGGCACTGGAACATTTTACCACAGAGGTTAGAAACAGAGGCAATAACACATTGGTGCTTGGTCATGAAATTAATTACTAGGATAGGCCATAAGATGAAAATTTGTGAATGTAACCACATTCCCAGCTTTTACAGCAGAGATGGTGCTAGAGCTTGTCAGTGCTAGGAATGGTTTACTGGGGGGAGCATCGGCAAAGTGCGTAAAGGGGTGCAACAGTCAGGGAAGTGCAGCGGAGTATAAAGCCACCTTCTGTACTTAAATATCAAAAAAGTATGCTGAACAAGGCTGCTCCTTAATTACCAGAACCTTGATGATGATTTAAATCTAGTAAGCGACTCAGCTGAAGAAGGGACTGCACGAGGCTGCCCAGCTGTTGCTGTAGACCCAGTACTTTGAAGACTGAGAAGGTGCTGTGTAAGTTGGGGTTTTTTTGTTGTTTGGGGTTTTTTGGTTGGTTGGTTTTTTTTCTTAAGTTTCCTGCAGCAAGTATTCCCCAGCTTAGGGGAAATAGATTAGCTGCCTTGTTAGCAACCAGCTGGCTGCTTATGCCACAGTTTTACTGATAAAGCTGTGTAGGAATTTGTGCCAGCGTGGCTTTCTCTGCCAAGGATCCCACTTGAGAGCCACACTGGCTGAAGCCTGTGTAGACATGGCCTGAGGGGGTTGTCCAGCTGCTTTGTCTGGTTTGTCTCATGGCAGGGAGAGCGTACTGTCTCCCACTCCAAAGCGTGCACAGCCGGTTACGGTCTGACTTTGTTACAGTGCAGGGAGGGATTTGACTTCTAAACCCTCTGTGAATGTGAAAGATGTGGAAACAGTCCATCTGTGAGTTTGGAGGGATGAAGTGGGGTCAGATGGTGAAACGGAGGTGACTCCTGTGCCCAGGACCATGTCAGTTTTGGCCTGAGTAGTTTCCTGAAGAAAAGGGATCGAGCTGATCAGGTTGCTTATGTGCCTGTAGTTTTTGTCTCCCAAGCTGTTGGAATTTGGGAGCGTCGTGGCTGATTTCAGTCAAATTTCATTGAGGAGTGAAGGTCTTGGAGATGCTGGGTCCCTAATGGCTTCAAGGAAGTGTATGATCTGGTAGGGGAAAGTGGCTCCAGGAATGTCCTTGTTGAGAAAGAGGCTGTAGTGTGAGCTTCCCTGTTAGTAGATAAAAGAGAAAATCTGCATGTGGATGCAAGAGAACTGGTATTAAGAGGACCCCATCTGAGTCTGAAGCTTTAAACATGCAGAAGGGTGGCCGGTGTCTCTTGCACTGCGCATTCTCAGATGTGGTTTGTATTCTTGATATCATCACACACTTACTTTTTAAGCCATAGTAGCAGGTTGTTTGTAAAAGTGATGTGCCAAGAGTTTAGATCGTTAAAAAGGGAAGGAAGTACAAGCTCCCTATTACAAGCAGTCTGACAGAAAGCATCCCACTCCTAGGCTTTGTTGCCACCTCCTGACCCAGGAGAGGGCAGCAGCAGCCCAGGCTGCAGTCTCTTCTAGCCTTTCCAAAGCTTTGCTCTTCCCTTCCACGGTGGGAGTTTGAGCCTGCAAAAAGCTTGGAAAGAAATGCATCGTATGCAGTAGGAAGTGAAAGGCAAATACCAGTTGGACGGGGTAGCAATACTCTCCTTTCTCGCAAAACTGCATGTTCTCAACATGAAGTAGAAAGGGAAACTGGTTCCTAAGAAGCAGTGTAGAAGTATGGAGTTTCTTGTAGCAATAATTTTGGACTTTTGTTATCAGCATCACTGTGTTAAGGTCTTTGCTGCACCAGAAAATAATGTTCTATTGCTTTAGTTGCTCACAGTACAGGTGGAAAGTAAGTACAATGAATTACTCTCTGGTACACTAACACTGCTGTATGGATTGTAGGAACCCCTTCTTAACACCTTGGTAAACTGGTGGTGAATGCACAGGCTGGCAGGACAGTCTCTGTAAAGGCTGGCTCTGATGCCATAGATTTTTATCACCTATTTCACAGTGATCCCTCATGTTTTCTCATGTTGCTTCACTTGCAAAATACTTCAGGATAAAGAAGAGTAATTAGCAGCATCCTGCTGACATGCCAGCTGGCTTTCTAAACCTGCTATCTGTGGGAGAATAAATAACTAAAATGGTGATTCTCTTTTACCCTGGAAAGTTTCTGTTCCCCCTCTGGCATTCCAGGTGTGGACTCTCCGTTATTCCTCCTTGCTCAGTCTTTTTAGCCTGACGTTTGGGAATGAGCACAGTGAAACTCAAACTGATCAAGCAAATTTTTACCCACAGCATCACCTTTTTAGGTCATAATTTCTCCCTGCAGCTGTGTCTGTGCCTTTGAGACCAGCTGGACAGTTAGCTTTTTCTTTTATTAGGCAATATCACTAGGTGTTGAAAACAACCCCCTTCAACTCCCACCCTGCCAGTATGAGTCATTTATCAAGTGAGTGGGAAGAAGACATGCTTTAAGTATACTTGTCTGCATAACATAGCTAATCTAGAGTAGTGGGCACTTCATTTCTATTGGTATTGGTCTTTCCTGAGATCATGTGAGTGCCATATCACTTTCCCTGCTTACACCTTAGGAGTGGAACTGCTTTGCTGTTCGCATGGCTTTAACATTGTCTGTCTCCATTTCTCTTGATTTTTTTTTTTTTCCAGCTTACACCCTCTGAAATCACAGCAAAATGCAAAACCGTTGTTTATCAAAGCTCTTCTAAAATGATTTATTACAGAAGCTTTAATTTTGTGAAACAGATCTTGGTTGATTCTTAATAAATGCAATGACGATGGGAAGTAGCTTTCTCTTCTGTTTACGCTTTAACTTGCAGGCACTCTAGTCTTTAAAACATTTTACTTAGCCTTAGTCCAGAGCCTAAGCAGAACAACTTCTGAATGATCCCTGTCTCTTTGTACAAGTGCAGGTCTTTGTTAACCTCTTCAAAAAAAATTAGAGCCAAACTTTGATCTTGAATATGTATGCAGCCTGATTTTCTTTTTCCTCTGAAGTGAGGACTCATTTCCTTGGTCTCTGAAACAAACAGGTACGGTACGTACTCAGTGCTTGAGAAAAATCAGGCCAGAGCATTAGAGACTTAATTATCATTTAGTGATAATTCTTTACGCTGAGATTTCAGTCTTTTTCTGCCTTGCGTGTAGACAAGAGGGGGCTTTCTTTTCAGATCAAGCTACAGAGAGGAGTCAGAAATGGACCACCGGGAGGAGTGCTCTATGTAAGGCCAAGAGCAGGTTTGAAAACAGAGCTACTTTCCATGACTGTTGGTTGTTCCCAGTCTCCCCTTGCACCTTGGAGCTGATGCTGCTCTAGAGAGGAGCATTGCTGCTGCATTAGACTGTTTCTGAGGTGTTTTGTGTTCACCTCCACCCAGCTGTAAGCAGCTCACAGCAAGCTGTAGAGCACAGATCCCTGAATTTTCTTTCTTCATTCTTTCTTCTTCCTCCACAGACACTCCCCAGCTGAATCCTGTGATGGAACCCCTGTCCTGGATGCTGGGCACCTGGCTCTCAGACCCGCCAGGAGATGGCACCTTCCCTACAATGAAGCCCTTCCAGTACCTGGAAGAAGTGCACATCTCTCACGTGGGGCAACCCATGCTCAACTTCTCGTAAGTCTAGGGATTATCTGTGTTGGCAGTAGCTTTGGACTGGAGCAGGCATGGCTCCAGTGAGATTTGTTGGTTGTGTTTCTTTTCCAGTGGCAAAGTAAACAAGTTTTCACCTACCAAATGAGACGATGTAATGATATGTGACTGCATGGGCTAACTCGTTTTCCTTTAAAACTTGTGATTAATTGGCATGCTGTTGCAACATACCCAGAGCTGCACACCTCCAGTCACTGAAGTTTCACTAGCCCAAGAGTAAAGTGCACTTCTACAGAGCTTTTCAAAAGTGAGTTCACACCTGTGAACTCATGCAGAAGCACATGTGGACAGGAATGGGACTGTTGGCACCATGCAGTGTACAATTCTTCTGGCCTGCCAATCTTGAGGGTTACATGGTGAGAAGTAACTCAGGGTGCTGCGAATGTGACTGTAACTTAGAATAGCGAGAGTAACTTCAGGTACCAAGAATGGCCCCAGCATGGACATCACTGTTTGTGCAAATTCCATACCTGCCTTTGAAGGACCAGTGATTCTTCCACTTTAATATGATGTGCACTGGGTGCATATGTTAGTCAAAAGATGTACTGTCCTCATGGCCAGAAAAAAATCCATCATTCTTCTTGCTGGCAGTAGCTGTCTAGTTAGAAATTAATCTTCAGGTAATAGCATTACAACTGCTATCATTCTGCTTTGTGAAACTCCCACTTACAGATATAATAAATGGAGGAGCTATGGCATGGCTGCCAAGTTTGTCCATTTTAAACTGTGATCCTCAGTCTTCACCACCATGAAAATCTGAGAAAAATTAAAGTGTTTAGCAAGCTATATGGGATAGGAGACAGATAGCTTAACTGCTTTGTCTGCAAGTAATTGTTCTAAGAGAAAACGAAAAGAAATCTGGAGGAAGAGAAGTGACATGTTAGCTAACTGTTCAGTGCTGCTCCAGTACTCATTTGGGAGGGGTGAGTTGGAAAGTTTGTTGCTTTGAAAACCAGAGAAAAGAATAATTACAAGATGCCAACACCGTGTGAAAGACCTGTGTTCCTGGTGTGCGCCATGTGTTGTGACAGAGCTGTCAGCTCAGCATGTGACATTTTTAGTCTAGTTTCTGAAAGAAACAAATCTCCAACAGTCATGCTCTGTCTATACCTCCCTTTCCAACTTCTGAACAGTTGCTGATTTGAGTCATGGTTGATTGGTTTGGGTTTTTTTGTTGTTTGGGATTTCTTTGTGCCAAGGAAATATACAGCTCAGAGCTGTTGAACTCTGGGAAGCGTCAGGAAAGTAGGCACCAGGTTTGGAGGACAGAGACCCTGTGCCTTCCTGGCTCCTGGAGCAGTGCCACTTGACTGTTACAAGACAGGCCATATCTCTTGAATACTCCAAGCACTGAAAGAAGCCTGATTTAAGTTTGTTCCTCCTTTGATTCTAGATAATCCCACCATGAGACATGACTCTGTAGGGTACCTGGCTTCACTAGCTGCAGAGCACAGAGGCTGAGATGCTAGGACGGTCCTTAGCAGGGATACAGCCCTGCACCACCTTTAGAAGTCATTCCTTGTTCTTTCTATAACCATATGGTTAAAAGGGGAACACCTTTATATAGAGACAAAGCCAAACAGGAGGAGTAATTTGTGTATTTGTACCCAGAGGACACTGGGGAGCCAGAAGCAGCTGCAAGGCACCCAGACTCTTCCCTAAATGCATGCCTTAGCTGTGCTCCCCCTTCTTTGTCTGCAGTTCTTTGAAGCCCACAGGTTTCTTGTACCATTTGTAGGGGTACCATGTGCTACACCTCGTGCTGCTGGTCTTCTAGGAAATGTTGACTCTGCGTGATTCATTATATTTTACTTCAGATAGGAAACAGTTCCTTTGGACTTTTCAGCTCTCAGTGCTTCTTTACTAAATAACTGCTTCTGCTTGCCTTGTGCCAGCACCTGGACAAGCCCCTTGGTCACGTTCTTCTTGCACACTTGCCCTATTACCGTTGGGTGGCAGCTGACAATACAGCATATCCCCAGTCCCAGGACAGGTCACAGTGGCCAAGGTGAGTGGTGTTGGCCATTTCCAGCAGGCACATCCCAGCTGCACAGCAGAGGCATGTGTGGAAACTGCTGTTGCATGAGGGAGTTCTGGGTGCAGATTTAGCAGCAGCAGCTCCAAGGTTGCCTCTGTCTCCTTTCCTATAGAAGGATGCAGAGTGGGAAATTCTATGAAAAACACTATGAAAAGAAAGAGATTAGTCTAGAATAAAGAAACACCAATAGGATAGTCTGCTACATTATATAGATACCTAGCTTACTATTGAGTTTAAGCTGCTGTGTAATTCAGTTACCCGTGTAGTCTCAGGAATGCTGTAGCACTAATGTAATATATGAACATGCGTGATATATATAATCACCCACATTATGGGTGACCAAACATACAACTCTCAGGCCTCATGAAGAATAAATAAGAATCTGAGCTGAACTTTTTTTCTTTTTGAAGGGGATGGTGGGAGAAATAAGTCTGCTCTGTTACTGCCTGCAGCAAGTAATATACAAAAAACCCAACTTGCTAGGTTTAAAAGCTAAATAATGATGATATTGTAATTCCAGATATTTGTTTGAGAAAAGGAAATATTTGAGAGAGAGTATGTATGACTTCCTGAGAGAGTTTCTGAGCTAGGTCTTAGAAAGACCCAGGAGCTGTGGAAAATATGAAGCCTGAACGTAAATAACTAACTCCAGCTCTAAGAAATACCTGTGCCTGTAATGTAACTGTATTTTTACACGTTTACATCTCCCAACCGTGAAGCATTGTCAGTCTTTTACTCTTCAATAATACTGCAGGCAATCATGAGATTAAATAAAATACCGTTTCGTCTGAGACGAAACCAGGCCAAACACTGTATTTTCAGTGCAACAAACAGCAGCTTTTGTATTCTGATTTCCCCTCAGGTTCAACGCCTTCCATCCGGACACCAGGAAGCCCATGCACCGAGAATGTGGATTCATCCGCCTCAAGCCTGACACTAATAAGGTGGCCTTCATCAGTGCCCAGAACACAGGTACACACCTGATATCCACGCTGAGGAGAAGAAGAGGTCCTTACCCTGCTGTGCCATTTCATCACTTTTCCAGAAAATTATTGCACCTCTCAGTTTCATATAATTTGTTTTCACTGTGGGTTCAGTGCCAAAGAGCAGCATCAAACTGATGGTGCTGAACCCACAGTGAAAACAAATTAATAAATGAGCTTGTGTCAAAAGCACTGAGTTTCTAGGACTGGCTATGTGCCTTTGCCCAGACAGTGTGGCTTTCTAGTTTTCTGTGACAGGAAAGGACTGCAAGTCAAAATACTGCTCATGCAGAAAACTTGAGGGGTATCCTTTCCTCAGATGGTATGTTGGTATTTTCAGACATAGCTTTGTAAACCAAAAGAACCCCTGCCTCTTAATGAAAATTGCAGTCCGAGCCTTAATAATGGCAGGTGATAAGTGGCCAGTGACATTCTTGATGCCTTCATAGCATCCTAGTCTTTTTTTGTGGGGAGGCAGGGGGAACGTGTACAGGTAAGATGCTTCATTCCCACTGCTCCTGTGAGTTGGCCACAGTTGACCCTGTGGTAGAAATAGAGAAGTACATGCCTTAGTTGATGAGCTTCTGGGTCTAGAGTTGTCCTTCTATTGCTAGTGTCATATTTGGCCAGCTGCTCCTTCTAAGCAGAGTCAGGTTTAACATCCCACTCAAGCTGTTGTTACCAATGTCAACACTTGCCATATTTGATTCTGTGGTGCAGGGTAGAGCTTGTGGCCCTGGCAAGGTGGGGCTGTGGTGGTTTTAAACCCCCTTTGCAGCCTCTCCATCCAGGAGTGTTTGGTGTGACCTGTATAGCAGGTTCCCTATTAGAGACCTTGCTCAGGCTGTGGCACTACCAAGAGCCTCCACGGCACTGTAGCAGGAGAGCTTCTCTCCCACTGTTCCCTTAACAATCTCGGAGAGTAACCTCAGTGCAGTCGTCTTAAGCTTCTAAACTAGGAGAACCTCCCACTGTCTGTATGTAGTGTCTTGGTACTTGTTATACACCTTACAGGGACTGAATGAGAGAGAGAACCACATCTAAATTATTGTAAGTGAAAGTGGTAAAACCCTGTTGATGCTTAAAGTTGCATCTAAAACTTAGAGCAGGTGCCGAAGGGAAGAAATGCCAGTTGCAATGCTATACTCATCCCACACTGTATGAGTAACTCTGGCTAGACTTTTCTAAGCAGCATTGCGTGTCTGAGGTTGCGTGGATCTGTAGTTGTTGATATGTGCTAGGTCAAATAAAACTGTTCTTCAGGGAGAGTGGTGGTCTATTATGTAGTCTAATAAGTGTGACATTGTTAAGTAACTTTTGTAGCCTAATAATATTTATGACCTTGCTTCTCACTAGGTCTGGTGGAGGTGGAGGAAGGGGAGGTGAATGGACAAGAGCTGTCTATAGCTTCTCACTCCATAGCCAGGATCTCCTTTGCCAAGAAGCCCCACGTAGAGCAGGTGAGTGCACACACAGTGAGCAATTCACATAGTGTTGCTAGCCCCAGAAGGTGTCTAGTTGAGAGGATAGGCTGATTGGCATGCTTTAATTACAGATTGCCATCAGGAGTTCTTGGAAATATTGCATGGCATCCTGGCTTATCCTTATTGTAACAGCCTTCAGAAGATATTTTGTACATTACAAGACCCAGAGGGATTGTTAAGATAAGAACTGATGGTGCTGAATCAGACCAGCCAGCCCAGAATCCTGTCTCCAGCAGTGGCCAGTAGCAGGTCCTTAGGGAAGAGAATAAGAAAGTCTTGTCTAAACGCCCTTGTACAGCAGCAGTGTTACTTCTTAATGCTGGTCGTCTGGTTTAATCACAGTATGAGGGTGCACATGTAAGGTATGTCCAATATTGGGCCTCATCAGGGTATTTTAGGAACACCTGCCTTTCACTGGAGCTCCACCTTGTCTTTGCAAATCTTGCTTGCTTTTCAGGGCATTCACAAGTTGCTATGGGCTCTCTTCCCATCTGTGGCTGCTTGGCAGGGCTGGCACTTGCTGTCAGCTCCAGTCTTGGTTGAATGTTTCTTGGTTTTTGACTTTTTTTTGTGTGTGTGCGTGTGTAGCGGCAGTTTGTTGTTAATGCAGCTGAATGGGGTACAGCCAGCTTGCGAGTAAGATGGCACTGCTGGAGTTAGTGTGGCATTCTGAGGTCACCACTGGAATCCTGTCACATATGAAGCTGTCTTGGCTGACTAGCAGCTGAGAAAGACAGCAAGGTTGAACAAGCTCTCACAAAGAGTAGGTACTGGCATGTCCTTGCATCTGTTTTGTTTTCTCTGATAACATGTGAACCAAGTGATTGATTGCAATTTTTGAAGGGTGATAAGTGAGGTGTGGCTCTCAGGAGAGAAGACACTACTTTGATTGCAGCAAGTACAGTATTGTCTTATTCTGGACTTCAAGGCTTAATTTTGCAACCTAGTCTTTATGCGCTCTAAAACCAACCAACACCTAACTGAGAGCACAAGTTTGTGGAGATGCAGCCAGTGTCATAAGAGTGCTCCCAAAATTCATTGACTTCCCAAAAGTTGTATGTGCCTACACAAACAATGTCCTAACTCCGGAAAGGCAGTCTTAACTCCCCTGCCTTCAGAGGCATGTTTCAAGTTGTTGGGTTTCTTCTTTCCCAGGAGCAGCTGTATTGCCTCCTTTCTATAGCATGAGAAATGAAGCTGTTAAATACTATGGATATCATCAAGGCAGCGGAGCTCTTAATTACAAACATTTAAATAAAATGGACTGCCCTCTCAGAGTCACTGCCTGAAATGTGAGCAGATAGACTGGCAGGAGGGGAGGGGGAAAGCAACAGAAAGCTAGTGAATGTTTTACTGGTTGAGGGCTCCAAGGCTGGCTTTGGCTGAAGGCTGGAAGAGGGAACCTCCTGAGCTGAAGGTCCATGCTCGCCTGGCACCTGAGGGCAGCTCAGGCCCAGGTACTGGTCGTAGTGAGTATCTGGGAGGCCCTTGCTGGTGAAGGAGGAAGTGGAATGAGAGGGTGTGGCAGGTAACCAGCTTCCAACGTATTTTCTTCTTCACCAAGAACAGCATAAATTGCCTGTGGAAATGAAGGGACCACAGGTGTTGAGAAGGGCACATGTGCTGCTGCTTTAGTTGCTCATTTTGAGAAAACTTCACCATAATGTTGTGTTCCACCAAAAAGTGATTTGGAATGGCTGTGGCTTGGCTGAGCCATAATTCAGGCAGGAAGACCTGTTCCCTGGGGCAGGGCTGTGTTGCAGGTGCTTGCTGTGCTGAGCTCCCCACATGGACAGAGAGGAGCAGTCTCTGGGAGTCTGTCTCTGCTAGAGGCGATGCTGATGTGATGTAAGGCACAATTGCAGCATTTTAGACTCTTCCTGCCTCTCTGAGGAGCAAGTGGCTCTCAGCTCCCACCCTGTCTGTATAGATAAGAGATGCTCTGCAGGGAGCGGAGGAGCACTCTTAGACTGGGTTTGTATCCAAACTCTCTTCCATTGTTCCCCTGCAAGTGTCTGGAGAACAGGCACGCTTTCAAATATTTTTAGACTTCAGGACTGTCCTCACAGTATGTGGGTACTGAGGGAGCTGGCTGATGTGCCTGCAAGGCTGCTGTGTTATCTTTGAAAGGTGATGGAGATCAGTGGAATTTTCCCATGGCTGGAGACATATGGCATGTGGGTCACCCATCTTCAGAAAGCACCTGAAGGTCAACCTGGAGAGCTACAAGCTGGTCAGCCTCACTTCAGCCCCTGGATATTTCTGCACATGTGAAGGAGAAGGTGATTGGGCACAGTCAGTATGGTTTTACCGTTGGTAAATGGTGCCTGACTGACCTGGTTGTCTTCTGTGATAAAATGACTGGATTTGTGGACGAGGGGAGAGCAGTGGCTGTCGCTTACCTTGAATTTGGTGATTTCCCATGGCCCTTTCCCAGTGCTTCATGTTTCCTCTCCTGTGTGGGAAGTAGCAGTCTCCCTGTGCATCTTGGGTGCACATGGAGCTTGCCCTCCCATGGTCCCATCAGCCAGCCTTTGATTGAAGCTTGCTTTTAAGAGAGAATCCTCTTCTTTTTTGCCCAGTTCATTTCATTTCCTCCTTTTGGCATTCAGACTTATTTGTCCGAGCTGCAGTGGTCCATTCAGAAAAAAACGGGTCGTTCAGGAACTCTGAGTCAAGGTCACATATTGTGAGATAATTTGTTGTTAAAGATGAGTGTCTTTTGTATTCCTTTTACTTGCCTTTTCCTGCTTAGGGTATTTGAGGAACACTGTCATGCATTACAAAGAAAGCCCCGTCTGATCAGCCAACATTAATCAAAACATCATTTGTATATGACCCTGTTCCTGCTGTCACCCTCATGAATGTCAGAGCAGTGGTGCGTCCTCCACAGCCCTGGGTAGCTTCGCTCTCAGCTGGCGATAACCTTCTGGGAGGAGGACATGTTGGATATTGGCATTAAGGGCACACTGCGGATGTAGGAATGGATGTGTTAACGGAGAGGACGCTGTCTCTGAGCACACAGACTGGCAATAGCTCATGGACGTGCCCTTGAGTGACCTTCACTGGAAACTAATGCATTTGCAAAAGCCCCTGCATTTTAGGAATTTCTAAATGGGGCTGGTTTAAGTGACTGCAAATTAATCGTGCTTGCAGGTTATCCTGCTGTCCCCAGGACTTTGTTTCTGTTCACCCCTGGGATTGTGTTTGGCATGGGAAGCAGCAAGTGGCCACCAGTCAGTATAAACAGCTCTTCTGGATGATGTGGAGTGCATCTGTACTGAAATTATGTGAAGGGCCAAAGTGCTGGGTGTGTGGGGTCCGTGCCAAGCTGCCTACTTACAGCAGCACTCAGTCAGGGAGGTGCCGTGCCCTGGTGTCATACACGCAGTTACGTGGCCCTTCTGCCAGGCTGGGCAGCTGGAGTGATGCACTCCAGAGTGTTATTCGGGAACAGGAGCTGAGGTTCAAAAAGGATGATCCCACTTCTCTCCTTTATTTTGGCAACACCTAGGAGCAGACCTAAAACCTGTGCTGAGCACTATGAATGCTTAGCTGCTCCCTCCTCCAGTTTGGAAGCTGCTGAAGCCTTGGTTCGAGCATCTGCTTGCACGGGTCCTAAGTGCTCCACAGGGCAACCCCAAATTGCCTCTCTTGAGGTTTGGTGCAGCACAGACAGGCTCACAGCCTGCCTGGGTGGAGGAATGGGGATGATGTTGCCTGTCAAGCCCTCCCGATGGATGGCAGCACTCTTCCCTCCTGTCCCGGGGCTGAACACCAGCTTGGCTGCAGGTGCAAGACGAGGCTCAGCAGGCTCCTATTTCCCTGTGTAGCATGAGCAACGCCTTACTGTGGTACGGTGCGGTGACTGGCAGAGAGCCTGAGTGGTTTTGAAGGCTGCCTTGGGGACGTCATCTAGTGCACAGCATCTCCCTGAGCTGCCGGCTGGGAGCTGCTCTTCTGGTGGAGGGAGGGATTTTGGCCTGTCTGTGCTGAGGTGATGTCAGTAGTAGTGCCAGGATGCTGTGTTACTCCATGGATAATGGTCTTGGAGCTGGTGTTTTGGAAAGGACTGCCTTTCTCTAGGAGGAGAGAAAACTTCTCGTTTACTTGCATAGCTGTAGTGAGCATATCCTTCCATCTGTGGTGCATTGACAGCAAACACAAGGATGGTAAAGGGAAGGTAAAAAGTGCAGGTAAGGAATTTAGCCTGTGGATGCTGTTTGCTTGATTCCGTTATTTGTTTTCTTACCCCCTTTTTAGATTACCAGAAAATTCAGGCTCAATTCCGATGGGAAACTTGAACAAACTGTCTCGATGGCAACCACTACGCAGCCCATGACTCAGCACCTCCATATTACCTACAAAAAGGTGACACCCTGATGCTGGGAGGGCTGAGTCTCCCCGCTGAGGGCGAGGAGTGGGGTGTCGTGCACCAAGAGCAGTGGCAGCTCGGGAGCACGGCATGGCAGACCCCGGAGCTAGCTGCCTGTGCTCACCCCCAGGGCTGCGGAGCTGCCCGTCCTGTTGAGAATGTTACTCAGATGTTTCTGTAATGGTATATTAAAAAAAAAAAATAAAAAGCTTTTATTTTTATGGCTGTGTCTTTGGGCTTGATTGCAGAGTGGTCTGTGTGTCCCTCTGCTCTGGCAGTGGTTACAGAGGGGCTTTTGATGCCTGTTCATTAGTAGGTGTTGGGTTGCATATCCAATTTCCTGGACCCTTTTCTGCAATCTGAGTAACGCCACAGAAGCAGCAGGACCAGGAATGGATTTGCACTGCAGAGACAGACCCTGAGAATGTCAGCTCTTGCCTAATGAAACTCAGCTTAAATATTCAGAGGGAGCACCTACGTCTTGCTGTGGGATGAAGAGAACTGTCACAGGACCTGATCCTGATGGTGCCATTGAGCTGACTTGAATGGACTTGGGACACTCCTGGAGGTCAGGATGAGACCTCACCAGCTTCAGTGCAGAATATCACAAGAGTTTGGGTGACAGCTGTGAGCCAACGGGCAGCAAGAGAAACTGTGAACAGTGAGGATCGATCTCAGCAGTTCTTTTGTCTAATTTGGCAGTCATGATGCAGCCTTTGACCTTCATGAAGTGTGTCATTGAGTCCCTCAGCAGTGAGGGAGGCAAAGGTCTAGCACTGCTTCTGGTCCACAGCGGAGGTAGGAGAGACAGTTCTGCCTGTGTTTCTCCATCAATGGTCTCCAAAGGCTTTCTATGGTGGGTGTGCGGCTCTAGAGAAGGCCTTGGTGGTGACATTTCTTTCTCACAAGCTTTCTGATGCCAGCCATTGTGCGTGAGGGTACGATGGGTCTGGTTTGCGCCTGTAGCTTCCTTCAGGACTCAAGATCCCTCTAGGCCAAAGGGATTTAAAACCTTTGCAGTTTTGGAAATGTCTGCTCTGGCAGCTCCCCAAGCTTTTCTGAGCTTCGCAGTAATGTCCTCAGTGTATTTGCCGGGAGCGCAAAATGATTCAGATAGGTGGTTTCAGCATGTAGTGCTACAATAGTATTTTTGGGAAAAGTGGAGGAGGCAGCTTGAAGATGAAAATGCTAACTGAGGCCAATAAATGATAGCCCAGAAACTTCTCATGGTTCTGGAAACAGCAGAATGCTTGGGGGAGGCAGAACTTTGCAAATAGTCTCTGATCTGTGGAGAAGTGATTTTGAATGTTGATGCTCTAGGTCTTTAAGTAGAGGGTGTGGATCAACAGCATGAAGCCTAGATGGAGGCTGATTATTAGCAGTGTAACCCTGGGTCAATACTGGGTCTGATCCTCTTCACTAGTAACCTGGATGATGGGGCACAGTGCACCCTTGGCAAGTTTGGGAGGAGTGGCTGAGCCACCAGGAGATCATGCTGCCACTCAGAGGGACCTCAATAGGCTGGAGAAATGGGCTGATGGGAACCTCCTGAAGTTCAACCAAGGGACATGCAAAATCCTGCCCCTGGGGAGGAACAGCGCCAGGCACCAGGACACGCTAGGGGTGCCTCGCTGGAAAGCAGCTCTGTAGAGAAGGTCCTGGTGGACACCACATTGAAGTTGAGCCAGCAAAGGAGGCCAGTGGTGTCCTGGGCTGCGCGAGGAAGAGCATTGCCAGCAGGTCGAGGGAGGGAATCAGCACTGGTGAGGCCACCCCTGGAGTGCTGTGTCCAGTGCTGGGCTCCCCAGCACAAGAGAGACAGGGACAGACGGGAGAGAGTCCAGTAAAGGGCCACCAACATGGGGAAGGGACTGCAGCATCTCTCCAATGAGGAGGGGCTGAGAGAGATGGGACTGTCCAGCCTGGAGAAGAGAAGGCTGGGGGGATCTTCTCCATATATATCAATATCTGAAGAGAGAGTGCAAAGAAGATGGAGCCTGCCTCTTTTCAGTGGTGCCCAGGCTCCATCTGGCTCAGGGTGGCCCTCCTTCAGCAGGGGCTTGGACCAGATGAGCTCTGGAGGCCCCTGACAACCGCAACCGCTCTGTGAGTGTGTGATGCTGGCACAACAACCAACAACAACAGGGACCGCCTGAAAGGGGCCTGAGCAAACGGAGAGGTGTGAAGCATGCTGCCAGATGGGTTTTGCATCGCAGGGTGTGTCTCTGAGGCTGGGGGAGCTCCTGGGTGCGCCCCTGAGAGCCTTGTGATGTCACCAGAGAGTCAGTCACCCCATGACATCACTTGCAGTGGGCAATGTACATGCCAGTGGCACATACTGCTAGTGGCACATGAGAGGTTGAATCCTGTGGGCAGCACCTGAGCCACCCGTGTACTGACAGCGATACACGAGAGGTCAAATCCTGTGGGCAGTGTCTGAGCCATCAAAGTCCTACCAACAGCACACTAGACGTGACCTGCCAGCAGCCGAGTCCCACCAGCGGCACCCATCAACAGCAGCGTTGGAGGGGCCCAGGCATGAGCTGGCGGTGCCGGGACCCACCATGAGGTCCCGGCAGGGGGACATCTGCCCCATCTGCCTGGGTCCCCTCGAAGACCCCGCTGCCGTGGACCCATGCTGGCATGAATTTTGTCCCGTGTGCATTCAGCACTGGGCTGCCGCCACCATTGCTGCCACCTGCCCACTCTGCTGGCAGCCCATCATGGCCGTCCACCACCTGCTGGTGGAGGATGGCCATGGTGGGGTGGGCCTCCATCCCCATGGCCGATTCCATCCCTACGTGGGGCTGTGGCAGGACCGGCAGGGGCGGTGGCAGCAGCGGCGGGGCCCCGGAGGTCCCTGGTGCCGGAGACTCTCTGCAGAGCACGGGGAGCGCAGCCCCCCCATGCCCCACCAGCATCTCCGGAGCCTGTCTGGGCAGTAGGACAGTGACAGGCGCAGCCAGCTCCGCTACCCTCCAGAGAACATCCAAGACCCGTCATGGCTGCGGAGGGTCCGGGAGGAAGAGCCGGGCTCAGGGGACCACGCACGCTGCCTCCCCTGGCTCCGCTTCTGAGCAGGGCGGCCGGTGCCCCCAGGGTCCCTCTGAAAAAAAACACCGGGGATGCTGAGAGAGGCCATGGCTGGTTTCTTCCATGCTGCTTTGCTGATTGCTGCAGAACTGGGGGAGTGGGAGGGATATGGCCCTGGGAACTGGGGGAGAGGGATGCACCCCCAGAAAGGGAAGGGGAAGGGGGAGTCCACTGGGCCTCTTCTAAGCAGATCCCCAAAAGGGCCAGTGCCTGCTCTCCTGAAGGCCAGGGCAAGGGAAGAGGCTGAGATGGAGGTCTGGGGGAGACCCTCCTCTCCTCTCTTGGTCCCGCACACCCCTGTGCTGCAGAGGGCTGCGATCCTGTGGGGAGGCTGTCCAGGCTGGGGGAGGCAGCCCTGGCACAGCCGCCTGCTGAAGGGCAGCTGCCTGCGCTGCCCATGGGACAAGCGGCCCCCGCCGGGATGTACCTTGTATTTCGGAAGTCTCCAGGGAAACCCAGAGCTCCCCCCACTCCAGGGCCTCCCCAAGAGCTGTGCAGTGGGAGCATGCCCCAGAGGGTGCCAGGCCCTCGCTACCGCCCCGCTCCATCCCCTCCCGCAGACCGGGTGGCTGGGAGCTCCCGGCGTTGGGGCTGAGCTGCTGCCCACACCGGCCTGCCGCCTTGGCAGACCTTGCTTCCCAGTGAGCGGACCCAAATGTTGGTGTCGAGAGTTTTGGCGGCCACATCTGCCCCAGCAAGGGCAGCCAAGCATGAGGTGAGGCTGCTCAGGGTGACCATGGGCTCTCAGTGCCTTCTGCCCCAGACATGGATGCAAAGACGAAAATCTCATGGAGATTTAGATCAGAAAACTGGCAAGCAGGAGGTGGCTCTTTGGCGCTTCCCAAAGGCTCCCTCTGAGCAGCATCCTCTCATTGGAGGTCCCAGGCCATGCGGGGCATCCGGGTGGCCTTTTCTGTCCTTCCCCAGCACTCCAAGAGAGCAGGAGGCAGGACGTTTGCAAGCGACTTTCTGGTACCTAGAGGAAGATCCAACCCTTGCAGGGCTTTTGGCAAAATCCCCTTACGGCACAGCGTAACCCGCTCTGGCACTGTGGCTGTATTGCAGCGTGGCATCGGCTCATCTGCACAAGAGCCACTCTGTGCCGGGCGTCAGCCCGTGCCGGGACTGGGCAGGGATTAAGAGGCTGAATCTGTAATGGATCCTCACTGGGCGACAGGTGTTTAAAGGCTTTGATCTGCTGCTTCTTGACTGTATTCCAGCCCCTCGCTGGAATTTCTCACGTGTAACCAAGCCCCGCTAATCCATCCTGGCCATATATAATGGATGGCGGTGGAGTGAAGGAACACAAACGTGGCTGAATATCGGTAACAAATGTCCGGGCAGTGGTGCAGCAGGTCCCTCTGCCGAAGATCCCCCACTGCCAGTACCTGCCCTCTGTGCCAGCCAGTGCAAAACCCTTCCTCTGTCCCCAAAACCTGGCTTGGCCGTGTGCAGGGGCAGGCACCATGACCAGGCTCAGCAGAGAACAGGGACAGTCTCTGCTGGCCTGAGGAGCGGGACGAGGCTTGGAGCCGAGCCACTGTCTCCAGGACTGGTGCTGGCAGTGCTGAGAGGGGCTGTGCCTGGTTTCTTCCACGCCGGTTTGCTCACCCCTGCGGGCATGCGCCCCTGGCCGTGCCCGGGGAGGGGCTGGTGGCCACAGTGCCTCCACTACAGATGCTCCCTTCCTCCCAGCCAGTGCTGGCCTCTGTCCCACCAGGCAAGAGGTATTGCTTCAGGAAGGAGGCATCCTTCACAGGAACTCCTTGGAGAAACGGGGCCAAATGATGCCTTTGGGGTGCAGTTCCCAAACATCAATCTGGCTGAATTTGACCTGAGGCATGGGACGTGTGTTCGGGCATAGCCCCCCGATAGCGACCAGAGTCCTTCATGCTCTTACCTTGTTCCTCCTGCTGTTGCAAATGGATGTTAACTTGCCAGGATTTGCTTTCAGCCTTGCTGGGTTTTAGCTGGGCTTTTAGGAGGAGTGGGAACCACCCCAGTGCACTGGCTCCATGCAGGTCCCACTGGGCCACAGTGGTTTTGGCATATGCAAAAGTGAAATAAAAGCCACGCTCTCCAGAGAGCTAGCCAGCCAAGAGCGGATGAACGTTCACATTAATGTGTAATTAATATGCAGTTCTGGCTTCAGTTCTTTTGGCAGTGCAGAGTTAATTACAACTAAACTGTAAAGCATTGCACATGGATTTTATTCACTGCCTTATTAGTGGCATCTGTTCTCCCAGCAAAATGTCTCAGCTGTTTGCTCTTGTTCAAGGAGACCAGAACTCATTGCATAGATGGCCCATGCTAACTTATATGCTTTGGCTGGAAAGCGAGCTAAAGGATGTGATCGCACCACCGTGTTTTCCGTTGGACCCTACTTGTTTGTTTAATGCATTGCCCCAGCCCCTGAGCCCATCACAACATGAAGGAGGGCACAGGGCTTCAGCTCCAGACCTGAAGGATGTGCCTGCATTTGAGAACCAGCAACATCTCTCTTCCCAGCTGTCTCCCAGCACTGCCCCATGATGTTTTACTGTCTTCTCCAGCAAGAGTGATCAGGGATGTCCGAGCCCCAGTGCTGCAGGACCCTCAGCTCACTCCGAGTCGCAGTCGCCAGGGCTGCAGCTGAGCCACAGCAGGCCAAATCGCTCGCTGCTGCAGCGTCCACTGCCTTGGCTGCCTTCCTGGCCTGGCTTTGCTGCTTAACACATGTCCTGAGGAAGATGAATGCTGGTTTTGTTAAGCGAATCTTGTGGCAAATGCAAATTAAGTGGCTGCAAATCCAGTGGAGAAGCCAGTTCATTTAGGGCATGGAGCATAACCGGAGGAGGAGAGCATCTGAAACGGGGAGGTGGGAAGCACCAGCCGAAAGGCTTTTGATCCCTGTGGTGTGACAGTGAGGTTCCTCACCCAGGGCTTGCGTTACGAACATTCACACCTGGCCCGTGCTGACCAAGGAGAGAGGCTGGGATGCAAAGCATAGAATTACAAGGGTAAGTACTTATTCATGGGCATGAGGTGTCCCAGCCAAATCAGGGCACCCGAATGTGGTTTTACACGGGGTTCTTATAGCCTTCAAATGGTCAGATACAACACAACTTGACTAATCACTAACAGCCACGCTATCAATTGCTAATCACGGTCAAACTTTGCAAAGCCACTCTATTTCTGCAGCATTCTTGCCACTTGTTTATTGACCCCGGCATCCCTGGAGTTGGTCTTGCTCAAGTTACCGATCTGTGACGCCAGACGATGCTGGGAGGGTTTCAAAGACGTGTCAGAAGGGCTGGGACGCTGGCGTTATTGTGGTTGACTGGGGTACCCTTTATCCTTCAGGGACAGCTCTGAGCTTCCACAAAGCAAAGTCCTTCTTTCCAGGGCCGGGCTGTCCTTTATTTGTTTTACTTCAGCATGAGCAATACCAGAGTCTCCAGGAAAATTCCACTACCTCATCACATCACAGTGTATAACTAAAATATATATATATATAAAATAAAGTTAATACACTTTCATACTATATAGACTGATTGAAATTGATAAGGAAGAGATTTTTCATCACACTTGCCAAGCCAGCGACACACCCAAGTCTCCATCAGAGCCACTGGGCTGCTGCTTCCTTCCGGCAGCGTCCGTGTGCCCCTGCTTGTGACACCTGCCAAGAGGGGCTCGGGCGCGAGCGTTTCGCCCCGCGTGGGGCTGAGGGCAGTGGCAGGCTGTGCGCTTGGAGGCTGCAGATGGAAATCGCTGCTGCGGGCAGCGAGGAGCATGACTCAGCCGCTCGAGCAAACTCGGGGCTTGCCTGGGCTCTGCAGCTTCTCGGCAGGGACCTCTTCCGCAGCCTGATTTGCTGGGAGACTGCCAGCCGCCCTTGCCATCTCCTCCTCTCTGCAGGCAGCTCGCAGGCAGCTCTGCCCTATTCTCCGCTCATCGTCTGCGTCTCCAGTGACAAAATGACCCGCCGGAGGAGAGGGACACGGGGCTGAATCCCTGTGACAGGCAAAGAGCAGAGGAGCTGGTGATGCGGTCAGAGGATGCTGCGGGGAAGGTACGGGCAGCCTCGCTGACAGTCGTGCCGATGGAGGGGCTGGGGGGTGGGCATGGTTCACAGGCAGTGTTCAGCGCCTGCGGTCAGGGCTTTGCACCCTTGTCCCAACTGGTGCCGTGACCACCCTGTGCAGCCGAGAGGTGACCCGAGCCCTGGCGTGAGGGTCCTTGTGCTGCCTGCAGTGGGGCAGGCTGCCAGGCCCCTCGGGGGTGCAGCCCCCCCTCCCGCAGTGCTTGCCGAGCCCCGGGGGGGACAGGCAGTGCGCGCTGCGGGAGAAGCTCTGCCCTTTGCCCCGGAGACCTTAAGGACAGGTATTCTGGGTGGTTTACCGGTACGGTTGTTCACCCCTGGGGTGCCCATGGAGGACCCCATGTGAGAGCCCTTCTGCGTGGGTTTAGGAGCTGCTTGTGGCCATGCCCCAAACCCCCACTGGCCTGCCCGCCCTGGGGGGCCAGGAAGAAGAATTGAGGGTGTGTTTGACCTTATTTAGACAGATCTTTCTCAAGCAATTAGATCTGCCGTGGGTTGTGCTGATGCAGAAAGCCAGTCTGCCAAAATCTGGCTCCTAAGGTTGGTGGGGCTGCGTACTTCCCAGAGGGACCCTGCCAGTGAGGCTGACAAAAAGGCTTTTCCTCGCTGCTCCCTGCTTGCAGCAGCACAGAGTCTGGGGGAAGGAGATGTGAAGGAAATACACTGGTAGCCAAAATTTTGCTCTGCCATGCTGTGTCCCCCCAAAGGGCTCTCCACCCTTTGGTGTGATGCCAAGTGTGCCTTGCAGAAAGGCAGCCAAAATCCTCCCTAAACACAGGCCTGCTGACCCCACAGCTTGACCAGTGCTTTACCTGAGTGCTGTGCTTCCTCCATTGCCTAATCACATCTCCCCTGAGAGGACACCATTCTCCTTTGGGCTCCAGTAACACCCAGGAGCTTTTCCATCCTTGCTCTGGCAGCCCTCCAGTCTCAGCAGTTCAGGAGCTCAGCAATGGGGGCTGTGGGCATTGGGGAGGGCTCAGGAGTTTTGCAGTCCCCGCTATGCAGCATGTCTGTGTGCACCTCGGTTTAAGCTCTGGGCTCTCAGGGGACCTTTGCAGGGGGCATGAGACCCCCCGCCTCTACAGAAGAGTGCCCTGTCTCTGCAGCCAGCACGTTGATACAGATTTTCCATGCAGGGCCATGCTTGGGCTGCTCGCACAAGAGACCTGGTTTCTGCTCTCCCTGCTGCCAGAAATATCCCAGCTGCCTGCAGCGGAGAGCAAGGGAGGAGAGCTGCGGGCTGGTGGATGGCCAGGCAGCGGAGCAGGCAGGCCAGCAGCTGTGCTGGCGGGCAGAGTGTGGTGGGGTCAATTTGTGGAGGCTGATGGGCTTCCCCGGGGTAGTGTGGTGCACACTGAGGCTGGTTCACCACCCACGTGGACCCTGTGTCAGGACCGTGGCGAGGGTCCAGCAGGTTTCCCGTGGACGTCTCTCCACCCAGGAAATGATGGACAGGATGCCCCAGTGCTTTAAGCTTATGGGTATCCTTCTTTTCTGCTGCGCTCAGGATGGAGATGTTCTGGACCTCCCAGCCTAGGAACAGGAGAGAGGAGGCCAACTGGGACAAGACACAGCAGCCATGGCTGTGCGTGGCCGGTGCACCAAGGTGCTCCCCTCCGAACTGAACAAGGTGTGCCCTGAGAGAGGAGACGATCCCGCCACGCACCCCAGGAAGATGAGCGACTTTGAGGTGGTCCCCAACCTCCAGCAGAGCAGTAGCAGTGTCTCGAAGACCAGGCGGAAGGCACATTTCCCTACGGGTAGCAATGAAAAGGCAAGTTCAGGAGGTGTTGGAAGAGGGAGTGGTTTGCCACACACAACGGAAGAGCATTAATGAGTTGTCCGGTGACTCATTAATGGGAGCATTAATAACAGATCACTTTAGATTTAGGAACAGACAGAAAAAAACCAAATATCTGAGGTATGTGTCCAGCATTCGTATCTCCTCTCCCTGGAGTACATCTGGCTTTGTCCTTGCAGATAGTGATGGAGCTTTTTTCCTTCACGTCAAAAGAAGCGCCCAGAGATGCTCCAAGCACTGGGGTGTCTGGCCCCTGGTGTAACTTCTGGCCCTTTGCAGAAACCCTGACCCCTTGCTGCTTTTCCTGCTCCTTCAGGAAAATCTCATCTCATGGATTCCTGAAAACATCCGGAAGAAAGAGTGCACCTACTTTGTTGAAAGCTCCCAGACATCAGATTCTGGGTAAGTCAAACAGTCCTTCATTCCCCTCCCCTGCCAGGAAAGCAGAAGGGGTGTTTGGTGACAAAGCTACAGCACCAGAAAATCCCACCTTTCTGTTAAGGAAGCTGGTGTCAAGGGGATTCACAAATTCCTTTTTGAGTGGTTCTTCACGCTGCTGTGTGTCACCACATGGCTGATATCCCGTGTCCCAGTGAGGAACATTTCTGATGCTTTCGCATGCAGTCATTTCCATCCATGTTTCATCCAGAGGAACCCTAATATTTCTGTCCTAAACCTCTGCAGGCAGAAATACCAATTTTTGCTAAATTCTCCCCCAAACAATGCCTTTGCTTCTGCACACATTCTGAGCCGGAGGATGAGCTGGGTGGGAGATGCTTGTGCATGCGGTGTTCTTAATGAGAATGCCAACACCTCCTGCCTGGCCTGAGGCAGGTGGGGCAGCTGGGCTTTGCCTTTTGCATTTAGATTGGTTTTGGCAAAGTTGGTGGTGTGTGTTTCAGGAGGATTGTGTGCGAGTGCGGCTATCTCAGGGAACAGCACCTGGAAGATGCTGCCAAACCTCCCATCTTCCTGGGGAAGGAATGGGACCCCAGCAGGCACATCCAGGAAATGCCAACAGATGCCTTCGGTGATATCCACTTCACGGGCCTGGGACAGAAGATAGGGAAGGTGATCTTTTTTTCCTGTCTGTGGTGCATGGGGAGCCAGTGTTCAGGTCTTGCCATGGCAGATGAAATGCCAGTATCTCCCTCCTGAACGAGAGGAGGTTAGGAAAGTGTGGAAATGCCCCAAAGCAGAGGAAGATGGGGTGGGACAGGATCTCTCCTCTCTCCCAGCCCTGCATCCAGTCCCTTTCTGAAACCATGAGACTGATCTTCATGCTCTGAGGGCTATGCTTCAAGGAGTGGCTGTTCCCTGTCCTTGTCCTTAGGTATATAAACTGGGGGGAGTCAGAGGGGAGGGATCGCTGCTTGGGAACTAACTGGGCATCAGTCGGCGGGTGGTGAGCAATTGCATTGTGCATCACTTGTTTTGTATATTTCTTCTGTATGGGGGCAACTGATACTGGTGTGGGTTGGTTCGCTGGTTCAGCTGCAGTGCCTGTTGTGGGGGTTGCAGTGGCCGCAGTGCCTGCTGCCTTGTTGTTAGATCCAGAGACCTTCTCTTCCCCTTGAGAGTACTGAATAGTGTTGAACTCCCCAGTTTATATAGTGGGCATGACATCACATGGTATGGAATATCCCTTTGGTCAGTTGAGGTCAGCTGTCCTGGCTGTGTCCGTCTCAAATTCTTGTGCCCCTCCAGCCTTCTTGCTGGTTGGGCATGAGAAGCTGAAAAATCCTTGACTTAGTCTAAACACTACTTAGCAACAACTGAAAACATCATTGTGTTATCAACATTCTTCTCATACTGAACCCAAAACATAGCACTAATCGAGCTACTAGGAAGACAATTAACTCTATCCCAGCCGAAACCAGGACAACCCTGTTGGTTTTACCCAAAATGTGTATATGTTCCCTTTTTTGCAGTATGTGCGCGTCTCCTCGGATACCCCTCCACGGGTCATCTACCACCTCATGACACAGCACTGGGGCCTTGATGCACCCAACCTGCTCATCTCAGTCACCGGGGGAGCCAAAAACTTTGTCATGAAGCCAAGGCTGAAGAACATCTTCCGGCAAGGGCTAGTCAAAGTGGCCCAGACCACTGGTAAGAGATGCAGAGGCTCTCCATGTGATTGTAGCAGGAGAGGGACCTGTTATCTGGTCATGCCAGGTTCAGTGAGTTGGGCTGCTGTGGAGATGCTGAGCTGGCCCAGGAGGCCTGTAGGTCCCTGTCTGGACTACCACCACCAAGGATGGACTGTTCCTGCTCAGTCGCTGCAAACAGGCTCACAGGGAGCTGGACTGAGAGATGCAACACTGTGCTGAAGAAGGCATCTCCTCTGCTGCCAGGGCTTGATGTAGTGGGCAGGGAAGATATATTCTGGGGGATGGAGCACCTCCGAGGACCAGGTGTTCCTGCAGCCATATAGGGGGATGTTAGGAGATTGCTGTGAGCAGAGCCTCTCCCTTCTCAAGCCCCTCTCTGACCCCCCAGGGGCCTGGATCATCACAGGGGGGTCCCACACTGGTGTGATGAAACAGGTGGGAGAGGCAGTGCGCGACTTCATCCTGAGCTGCAGCCACAAAGAGAGCGAGATCGTCACCATTGGCATAGCCACCTGGGGGACTGTGTACAACCGGGAGAGCCTCATCTGCCCCATGGTGAGCCAGGCAGAGTTGGAGATGCATTTGCTTTGCCTTTGTCTGGACTGTTGAGGAAGTCCTGCCAAGGACTGTGGTGGGAAAGGGTGCTTCAAGATGTGCCCATGGCTGGCAGCTGTGGTAAAACCCAGCAGCTCCAGAAGGAATGATGGTCCTGGGCTGATGTTTGCTGAGAACCCCTCTACCCTACCCAGTATCTTGTGTAGGTGCTGCGCTTCTCCTGGGAGGACTCTTGTGGGTGTGAGGGCAGGTGGAGCAGAGACAGAGGAGCATGGGGCAAGACTGATGTGAGGACTGCAGGGTGGGCAGGGCCAGCTGTTTGGCCAGACTGTCCCGATGTGCTGGCCTGTTCCTGTCCCACACGCTGGTTGCTTCGGGCATCTGGTGCTCCTCCACAGCCTTGCCAGGCTTTTCCCAGAGCCTCTCCTGCACCTTACAGGGTGGCTTTCCAGCTGAGTACATACTGGATGAGGAGAACCAAGGCAGCCTGTCATGCCTAGACAGCAACCACTCCCACTTCATCCTGGTGGACGATGGGACCCACGGGAGGTATGGGGTGGAAATCCCCCTGAGGACCAGACTGGAGAAGTTCATTTCAGAGCAGACCAAGGTGAAAGGAGGTAATGGCAACACATAGCCAGGCCTGAGGCAGGGGAGGGCACAAGGAGGGATGGGCCATCCATTGGTAAGGAGTGCCCATCCTGGCCTCCGGTGAGAGGGGAGGCTGTGGCTTCCTTGGAGGATCCAGGCAAAGAGTTCAAGTGGGTTGTCATGATAAATGTGGAACCTGGTTCCTCAGTAACATAAATCAAAAAGCCTTTCTCTATCAGCTGCTTGACTTATGGGGTCACTAAAGGGGTCTCCAAACCTTGTGATGCTGAGCTGATCAGGGGGAGTCGTTTCTCCCAAAGGGCCAGGCCTCCAAGGGGGCTTCTCGCTGTGCAAATGATCTTCTATTCTAACATATGCACACACATGCTCCAGCAGCATGATTGCCAGGAGATCGTCTCCCCTCTCTCCTGGAGCCTGGCACGTCAGGGGCACTGCTCCCACTTTGCCTTTCACACCCCACTGCTCAGAGGGGACTACATTCAGCTGCATGGAGGGGTGGCGGTGGGGGGCTGCCCCACAGGGAGGTGACCCTGGGCTCTGCTTCCCCACAGGTGTCGCCATCAAGATCCCCATCGTGTGCGTGGTGCTGGAAGGAGGCCCCGGGACACTCGATGTAAGGAACTCCTCCTGCCCGCTCCCAGCAGAGCTGAGAGGCGGGGGTGGTGGGAGGGGGCAGCTCCTTGCCCAGGGTGCTGCTCTCCGGTTTTGGTGTGAGCATGGTGCCACACTAGCTGAAACGCAGCTGGGCGGGAGTGCTGCGGAGCAGTGGTGTGGGTCTCAGGCTCAGAGAGGGTCTGCTGGCCTCTGGGTGAGATTAGGACCAGCCTCCCCACTCTGTTGCAGACCATCTACAATGCCATCACCAACGGGACTCCCTGTGTGATTGTCGAAGGGTCTGGCCGTGTGGCCGATGTCATCGCACAGGTGGCCAGCCTGCCTGTGCCCAAGATAACCATTGCCTTGATCCAGAAGAAGCTGAGTGTGTTCTTCCACGACACCTATGAGCTCTTCACTGAGGACAAGCTGGTGGAGTGGACCAAGAAGGTGAGCCTCTTGCAGGGAGACAGCTCCTCTCGCTAAGCTGGTGGAGATCAAAGGGGTCCCCAGGGCTCCTTGCCCATCAGCAGCAGCACTCCCAGTGTGACGTTTAAGGGTCATCTTCCACCAACCATCCATCTCCCCCCAGCCATGCTCAGCATTGTCCTGGTGGGCACCCTGAAGGCTGAAGCTCTGCTCCTCCACTGCTTGCTCCCTTTGGGTAGAGAGGTACCATTTGGGACCAACCCCAGCCGGGCTGGGAGACACAGCACAGGGGGTCTGCAGGCAACCCGAGGGGAGCAAGGAATTGCCCCACACAGGATAGAGGGCTGCGGGAAGTGGCAGGGAGGAGGTGCTGCTGCTGATTGCTTGCCCACGGCTCTCCTTGTAGATTCAAGACATAGTGCGGAGCCGGCAGCTCCTGACCATTTTCAGAGAGGGCAAATATGGCCAGCAGGACGTGGATGTGGCCATCCTCCAGGCCCTGTTCAAAGGTGAGGTGTGGGGAGCTGCTTGGGAGGAGGGGGCAAGATGAATGGGATGGGGGGTCACAAGTCACCTCCTGCAGCTGCCTGACTTATGGTGTCACCAAAGGGGTCCCCAAACCTTGTGATGCTGAGCTGACTGGGGAGAGATGTTTCCCCCAAAGGGCCAGGTCTCCAAGGGGGCTTCCAGGTAGTATCATCTCGCCGTGTAAATGACTCTCTGTTCTAACACATGCACTTTGCATGCAGCATCCCGAAACCAGGACCACTTTGGTCGGGAGAACTGGGACCACCAGCTGAAGTTAGCTGTGGCCTGGAACAGGGTGGACATTGCTCGGAGTGAGATCTTCACGGACGACTATGAGTGGAAGGTAAAGGAGTACCTGTGCTTCTTGTATGGTGAGGCTTACAGCTTGTCAGGTCCCACTTGAAGACTGTGGATATTGAGGGCACTGCTCACCTTGGCTGTGCCTAGGGAGAGTTTTTGAGGGCATTTCTCTTGGACCCTAAACTCCCACCATATTGCCAGGGGCTCTTTATCTGTCCTGTCTTTCAAAACTGCACTCAAAACACCCAAAGCAGAGGTGAGCACACCCTATAATTCATTGCTTGTAAAGGTCCTATTTGGCTTATATTTTTTATAAAGGTGATTGATCGGTATTTTGTTCAAAACCAGTGCCTTTTAAAGACAATCCACCAACCTAGACCCAAAAATATCTCTTGCCAGCTCTGCCCTGTGGTCGCTGCTCTTGCCATGTTGTCAAATGGCAACTTGTCCCTAAACTCCTCTTACCCAGCCTGGTGCTTCCCTGCTCAAACTTTACTACAGAGTGGGGCAGGGAGCAGCACAAGCCAGCTCTGCTGTCCCACGCCTGGTCCTGCTGTCAAGAAGTCAAAGCTGAGCAGGGTTATCTGTCCTTTCTGATAGGGCTGTGGGACTTGGAAGGGATTTTCCTGTTTCGTTGGACACTTTGGGTTCCCTCAGCTCACATACCTTTTGTGGGACTGGGAAGGGCTGGTGGGAACTAGGAACCCCAGAAGGAAGTATTTGATGGTGTGAAAATGCACAGCCCGAGAAAGATCCACAGCTTTGTCAGGAAGGGAGGATGAGGCAGGCACTCAGATTAGCCGATGCAGGCCAGGGCTGTTACAGGTCCTGCAGCTCTGGACAGGTCTGGCTGGTATGAAAAGCTGAGGCTGAAACCAAGCTGTGGCAGAAGCTCAGCAGGTACCTTCCTTCCAGGACATGTACCCCCTTACCCACAGGCCGTGCTTTCACATGTAAAGGTTGCCTTGGAAAGGAAAACCCCACAAAGGCTGAACTGGGTGACCATTGGGAGCAGCCAGTCTCCCCATGGCTGAGATCCAGATGGCAGCACCGTGATCCTTCTTCAGCCGAAGAGTTTTGCACAGGGGACAAACTTGTGAGGTCCTGTTCATTTGTATGGTGCATCCTCATGAGCTGGGGAAAGAGGGTCTACTCTCTACCCTACCCCATCCCTCCTCCAGCAGCCAAGGGAGCAGAGGGCTTCTACTGCCAGAGGAGAGGGCATACTAACCCACAAGTGTGTCTCTGGGGGATGTCCCACAAGTCCCAGTACCTCCCAGCTGCTCTCTCATACCCAGAAACTCCTTGTGTGCTCAGGGATAAAATCTTCCCCCCATCTAAGTGAGGACCATGGTGGGGGCCCTACTCTGGGGCCATGGAGCCCCTCACCTCTGCCTCTGGCCTGCCAGCCCACAGATCTCCACCCCGTGATGGCAGCTGCCCTGATCTCCAACAAGCCAGAGTTTGTGAAGCTGTTCCTGGAGCAGGGAGTGCGTCTCAAGGAGTTTGTCACCTGGGACACCCTGGTTTACCTCTACGACAACATGGCACCATCCTGCCTGTTCCACAGCAAGCTGCAGAAGGTGCTGCTAGAGGAGAGAGAGCACACAGCTGGCTCCAAAATGCCAAGAATCCAACTGCACCATGTCTCCCAGGTGCTGCGGGAGCTGCTGGGCTGCTCCACGCAACCTCTCTACCCCAAGCCCAAGCACACGGAGCGGCCCCGGCTCTCCATCCCCGTCCCGCACATCAAGCTGAATGTACGCATCTCCAGGTTACAGGGTGGCAGGGTTGCATTAGGGAGGGGGACGCTGGCTCTAGAAACCATGCTGGAGGTTGCAGCTAGGTCTCTGTCCTCTTGCCTGCTCAAGAATCCCACTTAAAGTCCCGCCCAAGTCATCTGACCCACATTCAAGGTGCAAATCCCACCCTCCTACACCCATAGCCCCACTTGGCTGCATGACTCTGGTGGGCAGGACCCAGTGGGGTGGGTGCACTGGGCAGGATGGGCACATCCCCAGGTGATCCTGGCCCTAGAGAAAGTGGCATTTCCAGGAGGAGTCCAGTCTTGGTCACCCTGCTGTCTGCAGCAAAGGCCCTTCCATGGGTGGTGGAAGCAGGCACCAAGGGTTCAGGGGTGGCTTTGTGCTGAGAGGCTGTCTGCTTTCTGCAGCCTCTTGGCAGGGGAATGGGTCTGACCATTGCACACCTTGCAGGTTCAGGGGTCAAGTCTCCGGTCCCTCTACAAGCGCTCTGCTGGCCGAGTCACCTTCACCATGGACCCGGTCCGCGACCTGCTTATCTGGGCTGTGGTCCAGAACCGCAAGGAGCTGGCAGAAATCATCTGGGCCCAGGTATCACAGCCCAGAGCTGATGGTCCCAGATGAGAGGCTCAGATGGAACCAAACCTCCCAGCCCCAAGAGGAAAGGTTGAGCCTGCTGGCATTTGGGACAGCAGGCGAGCTGGCCCATGGCAGTGCCCAAGCCTGACCCCCAGCCAAATGGGAGCCAGCTAGTGAGCCTGCGGACACTCGTTGTTCATCCCCAGACACACACCATGATGCCAGATCCCTCCCTTCCCCACCAAAACGTACGCTGTGGGCAGAGGTGATGTGCTGGGCCAGAAGCATGCTCTTCCTTGCAAAGCCTGAGAGAGGGCTCAGCACACAGCAGGCAGGACACAGGTGCATGGCAGCTGGGGTGGAGAAGGCTTCCGCCGATAAACAGCATTCCCAGGGCAAGAGGCAGTGTGGCTGGCAGCATGGTGTGTGCACCATGCAGAGCCGTGGAGTCACACCATCCCGTCACCCAAGGCTTCCCACTGGGAGAGCAGGGGTCTCCCCATATTCCCCATGGCAGTGGGTTACCTGCTGCCCCTGCACCCAGAAGGGAGCACAGCTCAGCCCTTGTCACAGCAAGCTGTCCATCCTGAGCAGCAGTCTGCTTGGGACACCTTCCTTCCCTCCCATAGAAGCCGTGGAGGGCTTGGCAGGGCTGCCAGGACTTGCAGGATAGGGACAGACCCCCACACTCTCTCTGGCCTCTTCTGCTCCAGAGCCAGGACTGCGTGGCAGCTGCACTGGCCTGCAGCAAAATCCTGAAGGAACTCGCCAAGGAGGAGGAAGACACCGACACCACCGATGACATGCTGGCCCTGGCCGAGCAGTACGAGCACAAAGCGATTGGTGAGCAGGAGGGGACCAGGAACCCAGAACTGCTCTCATGCCCTGCAGGGCTGGCTAGCTTTGCCCAGGAGGTGTCTGGGGGGTGATGGGTGGGGTGGCCGGTGCCAAACAGGGGTCCCCTCCTCACAGTCAGGGTTGTGGGGCTACGAGGGCTATGCCCAGGTGGTGGTAGGAGCGCAGAGGGTGGCCGCTGCGTGGTGCAATGTCCAGGTCCTGCTGCAAAGAGTGACTCAGCGGGCACCTTGCTGAGCACCAAGCTGGCCCCGGAGCTCAGCCTTGTCCCCCGGGTCCCTGCCCGGCCAGGTGTGTTCACAGACTGCTACCGCAAGGATGAAGAGAGAGCCCAGAAGCTCCTCACCCGTGTCTCTGAGGCCTGGGGGAAAACAACCTGCCTGCAGTTGGCATTGGAGGCAAAGAACATGACTTTTGTGTCCCATGGGGGTGTCCAGGTGGGTTCCCAGCAGAAGTGCTTGGAGGGGGATTGCCCAAGTGAACCCTGCCCCAGATCCAGGGTTCCTTGGCAGCGGTGGGGCTTTGTCCTGCAGCCCTGCTCTGACGGGGGGTGGCTTCTATAACCAGTGCTCCTCTCCCTCCCTCCTCACAGGCCTTTCTAACCAAAGTCTGGTGGGGGAAGATGTGCGTGGACAACGGGCTTTGGCGGGTGATCGTGTGCATGCTGTTCTTCCCACTTCTGTACACCAGCCTCATCACCTTCAGGTACTTCTTGCAGCCAGGGCATGCATGCACCAAGGCTGGCTGGGAGAAGCTGCCGTGGCATCTCCCTGGGCAGCTCAGCCCCGCTTCCACCCTGCTCCCCGCAGGGAGAAGAGGCTGCAGCCTGTGGGCTGCCTGACGCGCCTCCGAGCCTTCTTCACGGCACCTGTCGTCATCTTCCACATGAACATCCTCTCTTACTTCACCTTCCTCCTGCTCTTCGCCTATGTCCTGATGGTTGACTTCCAGCCATTGCCGTCCTGGCGGGAGTACCTCGTCTACTTCTGGCTCTTCTCCCTGGTGTGTGAGGAGACCCGCCAGGTACGGGGCAGGCAGAGCAGAGGCTGGGAGGAGGCAAGGGGAGGGAGAGACACCCCCCTGGGTGCTCCTGGAAGATCCTGCGTAGCTTAAGTTCCCATGCTGCTTCTCATGTCACCATCCATTTTGAGACGTCCCAGCACAAGGGACTGCCAGATCCCCCCCGTCTCTGAGGCCAGAGAATCTCCTTGGCCACATCTGGTCTGGCCCCTGGTATTTGCAAAAAGACTTGCTGTTTTGAGCTGAAAATGTCAGGAGATGGAGGGATCACCTCCTTCCTTGGGCATTTATTCCCAGAAGCATTTCCAGGCTTTGCTTGGCATTTGATTTCTTTCAGCTTTTGCTTCAACATCTCAGTGCCTTTCATCACCAGACTAAACAGCCCCACATCTCAGGTATCTCACCCCATGCTCATTCCATGCCCCTACAGAAAACCCCGTAGGCTCAGGTTAACTTTGGGTAAGCAAGAGGGTCCAGTGATAGCCAGCAGGTCTGTGTGGTCCCTCCCATCTACAAGGCACATGAGCTCTTACAAGGCTTTCTCTGAAATGCCAATCCCTCTTCTCTTCCCAACAGCTGTTATATGATCCAGATGGGTTTGGGGTTGTGAAAATGGCTTCCCTGTACTTCAAGGACTTCTGGAATAAGTTGGATATCTGTGCCATCCTAGTCTTTATCACAGGGCTGACTTGCAGGTGAGTTGCACAGCCACTTGCCTGGCAGTGCGCAGGCTCAAGCCACAGCTGTAGGCTACAGAACTAGTGTGAGAATTGTGCAGGTTTTTTAATTGCAATTTCTTCTTCCAAAGGCTAGCGAAGATTTTTGTGGTCATGTGATTAATTCTGACCAATTTGCCTCTGCTTTCAGCTGCTTTTAGGAGAGATTTTTTTCATGCCGCAGCTCTCACCCAGCACTCTGGGGAAGCTCACTAATCTTGCAGAAATGTAATGCTGTGAGATCAGAAAAAAAACCCCACACTGGCAGCACTGAGATGTTTCCTTTCCTCTCTTGTGTGCCCAGGTTGATCCCGTCAACTTTATACCCCGGGCGCATCATACTGTCACTGGCTTTTATCATTTTCTGCCTGCGTCTGATGCACATTTTCACAGTCAGTAAAACGCTGGGGCCCAAGATCATCATTGTGAAGCGCATGGTGAGAGTTCCCCTCCATCCTGCCAGGGTGATCAGCTGGAGCAACCGGACGCCTGCATGGGAGGGATGTGCCACCTGTGTTATACTATCCTGGAGTGGGGTTTGCTCCAGGACACAATTTTGCTTCCCCTCTGTCTTTGCAGATGAAGGATGTCTTCTTCTTCCTCTTCCTGCTAGCAGTGTGGGTGGTGTCCTTTGGGGTTGCCAAGCAGGCCATCCTGATCCACAATGAGGAACGTGTAGAGTGGCTTTTCCGTGGCGTGGTCTACCACTCCTACCTGACCATCTTTGGGCAGATTCCCTCCTACATCGATGGTAAGGGACACTGGCCTGTGACAGCGCGTGGCATGAGCAGGGTGGCTGCTACAAGGCTGAGGGGTACCAAGCTCATGCCGCAGTCTGCCTAGCTCTCGCCATGTTGGCCCATGGAAGTCCTGCACAGGGCTCCTCTCCAAACACAACGTAAGGCCAAGAGGGAGCAAGGACAGGGTGTGGGGATGGAGCCCTGCTCCAGTACATTGGGAGCATTGCCAGCAATGCAAACCCAGGGACTTGCATCTGCCCAAGCAGTCAAGAGAGCACACTAGCAAAGGCACAGGACCATGAGTCGATCCAGCTCAGTGCCACAGCTGCAAAGCTGGTGGCACTGAGCAGAGCACCTAGGATGATGCAGATCGAGGTCAAATCCCTGCCTGGTGCTAAGCTCCCTTGATGCTGGCTGCTTTCAGAGAGCACAGTGTGCTCCCTGAGACACCATGAGGTTTGGCTGCAATGAAGTCCTGCCATGCTTTCTTGCAGGGGTCAACTTCAACATTGACCAGTGCAGCCCCAATGGGACTGACCCCTACAAGCCCAAGTGCCCAGAGACAAATGAGGACAACAAGAAACCCATCTTCCCAGAGTGGCTGACGGTCATCTTACTGTGCCTATACCTGCTCTTCACCAACATCCTCCTCCTCAACCTCCTCATCGCCATGTTCAAGTGAGTTTGATCTGCCCCATGGCCCTGACAGTGAATTGAGCTGGCTTTGCTTACAGGCTTGGCCACAGCCAGGGCACTGCACACTGAGAAAGTGCAAGGAGGGTCCTAGGGCACATGCTGACCAGAGCACAGGGGAGTTTTGGGGGGTTTATAGATATGGTGGAAGTCGCAGATGCAGGCCAGGGCTAATCAGGGATGGGTAGGAGCTGGGGCACCATACAGACATGATGTACCCCCTCATCCCCATGGCATGGCTGACACCTGGGCTCTGCCCCAGCTACACCTTCCAGCAGGTCCAGGAGCACACGGACCAGATCTGGAAGTTCCAGCGGCACGACCTGATTGAGGAGTACCACGGCCGCCCACCTGCACCTCCACCCTTCATCCTCCTGAACCACCTGCAGATCCTGGTCTGGCGAGGCTTGCTCCGCAGGCCGGCCACACGCCACAAGCTGCTCAGTGAGGACCAAAATCTTCCCTCCTGCCCTTTGCCCCCTCCCTGGGGCACGGCACTGTGCACCGAGGCACGAGGCACGATGGGCTGCGGTACCAGGTTTTGGAATGCCCGGAGGTCTGACAGCACTGCTGTCCCCTTTCTCTGGCAGAAGAGAAGCTGGAGAAGAACGAAGAAGCTGCCCTCCTCTCCTGGGAGATGTACCTGAAGGAGAACTACCTGCAGCACCAGCAGTGCCAGGAGAAGCAGAACATGGAACAGAAGATCCGAGACATTGCACAGAGGTACCAGCACTCCTGAGATAGGGACATCCTTCTGTCCTCCAGTGTCCTGGGCAGGAAAGAGTTGGGATTAGTGCAGGAGTGGCTGCTGAGGGGTTTCCTTTCTGCACTGTCCCTCCAGGGTTGACATGCTGGCAGAGCTGCTGGACTTGGACCGGCTGAAGAGAACAGGGCTGGTGGAACAGAAACTGGTCTCTCTGGAAGACCAGGTGAGGCAAAAGCTGAGCAACTACCTAAGAAAGGGGGAGTTTTCCAAGGGCTGAGTCAACTGAACTAGAACACAAGAGAAAGTCCCTCTGAATCAATCCCCCTTCAAACAGTGTGAGTTTCCTTGCCAAAACAATAGTATCTGAGAGGAAAAGGTTATGGGAAATGTTCTGTTTGACTCCAAAGTGAACAAGATGAAGGCAGTAAGTGGTGGAATGAGCCCCTGCCTCCACTGGTCACCCAAGCAGTTAGATCTGACCCAGCTCGTCTCCTCGGCCCAAGAGGACCCTCCAGACCTTCTGGAGATGGGCAACTCTCCAACCCCCTCCTGTGAAGCTGTTCCACACTCTGCACGAGCAGTGGGGTGCCTGGGGAGCAGGACCAGGCCCTGACATCTCCTCTCTGAGACAGCCGCAGCACAGCTGCTGTTTCCACTTCCATTTCTACCTGCTTTGAAAAAATGTTGCCACAGAGGTGGTTTTACAAGCCGAGCATCAGGGCACAGCAAGGATTGCTGCTGCCCTGGGGAGATGAGCAGCCAGGAGCCAAGGGCAGCAGTGCCTCCTGCCAGGGCTGTACCCTGCAGTACTCGGGCGAGGGAGCCTGGAGGGGCAAGCTGGGGTCCAGGGGGCTGACCCTCTCTTCTCCCATGCAGGTGCATCAGAGCACCCAGGCCCTGAGGTGGATAATGCAGGCGCTGCAGGGCAATGGCTTCGGCTCAGGCGAGGACCTGCCGCCCATCGGTAAGTGGAGCCCGTCTCCACCCCAGCAGCACCGGGGAAGCCCAGGACCCCACGCTGGTGCCAGCAGGCTGCAGACCAGGGCTGAGCAGCCCCTCACACCCCTCTGTTAAGCAGTAAGGCAGAGGCAGAGGTTCTTTGGGCCCAGGGAGGTTTGGGGGCTCTGTGAGGCTGTCCAGTCCCTCCTGCAGCCATTCCCACCCTCCACACCAGAGCCTGCAGCCCATGGCTGAGGCTTTCCATGGCAGCATCCCCAGGGGAGCTCCTCTGGGGCCTTCCAGAAGGGATGCCGGGGGCCAGGTCCCCAGGGTACAGCAGCATCCCCATGGAGAGACCCAGCCAGCCCCCCCAGCAGAGCCGTGGTCCGCAGCACTGGACTCAGCACCCTGCTTTGTGGGGCCTCGCTGTCTACGTCTGCCTTGCAGGCTCCAGCAAAGCCTCAGAGATGAAGGAGGTTGACCTGGAGGGGAAAGCCGAGGAGAGCCAGCCCCTATACCACGTGCTTGCCCGAAACCTCCTGTACCCAGGGTCTCACACCCACCGCTTCCCTGTGCCAGATGAGAAGGTGCCCTGGGAGGTAGGAGCTGTGACCCTGGGTGGTGGGGCTGGGAGCAGGGGCCATGGGGCAGATCCCAATGGTGGTAGGAAGAGGAACAAACCCATCATCACACCTGTGTTGCACTTGGGAGCTCCTGTTCTTCCCAGCCCTGGGACAAGTGGCTTCCTGGAGCAGCAGCTCCAAGGCCTTCCCAGGGAAAGGGAAAGGTGAATGGGCATCATTCCTGCTTGGCTCTGCAGTGCTAGGGATGCCTGGGGCTGCTTGGTGGGGAAACAGAAGGTACAACCACCTGCCTCCGCGTTTTCTGAATCAGGGCTGGCTCAGGGTCAGGGACAGGATCTGGCATTGGCTTCCACAGGGGCATGAGTGAGAGGCACCGACCCTCTAGCCGAGAGCCTAAGCTCAGCCCCCGAGCAGGGCCCGGAGCCCTACATGCCTCGGGGAGTGATGCCACAAGCTAGGCAGGGAAAGGGATTGGGGCAGAAAGTATCCCCGGGGGTCCCATTCCCTGCCTGCCGCCAGAGCACGGATGTAAGGGGGGCCTGACGCGGCCACATGCTCTGCAGGTGGACTTCCCACTCTACGACCCTCCTGTCTACTCAGCTGACCACAAGGACATGGCTGTGCAGGACCCGTTCAGCCCGTGAGTGTCCCCCTGAGGCTCCTCGCTCCTCTGCCCCTTCCCCTGGGTGGCACAGCCAGCCCTCCCTGCCGGGCTGCCTCCTGCCCCCCAGCTCTTTGGAGTCTCTCCTGAAGATCAACTACAACACCATGGACGGGCTGATTGACCGGCAGAGCTTCCATGGGCTCTACGCCGTGCAGGATGGGCTGCCGCTGTGAGTACATCTGCCATGGGGGCAGATGGGCTTGGTGGGAGCTGGGGTGCCCATCTGTAGGCAAAGCACCAGGGAGATGGAGAATCCAGGGGGGGCTGGGTGCATCCATCCCCTTCCCACTTCCCTATGGCTAATGGTGGGGCAGGGATAATGGCATGCATCTTCCTCAGGGCTGTCCACCCTCTCCAAGAAACCCAGAATCCCAGAAGAGGTGCAGTGCAGTCGTGGGAAATTTGGGGATGCGGTTATAGGGCTTTGATCAGCATGACGGGGTGCGCAGTGGGACCCTGGCACTATCCCAGCCTGCTCACTCTCTCCCTGCTAGGAACCCCATGGGAAGGACAGGGCTGCGAGGACGCGGGAGGCTGCGCTGCTTTGGGCCCAACCATGCCTTGCACCCCGTTGTGACCCGGTAAGCACATGGGGACACGGAGGTGTCCTGCTCCAGGATGGGGCTAGGGAGGTGGAATGGAAAAGGGGGCACGAAGCCATCTCAGAGACACTGGCACCTGTCAAAGCCCACTGCTGCCCCTTCAACGTGGGAACCTGTGCCAGTGTGCTGGGCAGGGGGGAGCTGAGTCCTGCCTGCAGCATAACAGGGGCCTCTCTCACAGCTGGAGGCGGAATTTGGATGGGTCCATCATAAGAAAGAGCCTGAAGAAGATGCTGGAAGTCCTAGTGGCCCAGTACCCACTGTCGGATGTCTGGGCTCTGCCCGGGGTAAGAGCTGGTGTAAACCAGCTGGCACAGAAGGGTCTGGGGAGATGGGGACCAGCTGGTGGCTGAATGCCCTGCAGAAAAGGGAGAAACACAGATGGGTGTCACAGCCTTGTCCAAGGAGGTACCTCTGCCCCTCCCACAGAGCATCTGCATGCAGGGCTGTGCTGCCAGGAGTGCTGGACAGGCGGTGGTCCCATTACATACCCCCACCCACCCTGACCCACTGACTCCTGCTTCTCCCTCCTCCTCCTCCATGGCTTCAGTTCTCACATGTCCTTTGACAGAGAGGTCCGGGGGTTGAATCAGGCAAACTCAGACATCTGCTTGGGCACAGCTGAGGACTTCTGGCAGGAGAGGGAGGGAAGGAGGCACCACCACTGCTTGCTCCCCCCACCAGAGCTTGTGGCATCTTCTGCAGTGGTGGCAACTGCCCGATGGCCAAGCTGGTGGCAGTGAGGGAGGCTGGGCTGGGCTGATGGCAGGCCCCACGCCTGACATCTGCTTTGGCACAGGGGTCACTGGAGCCAGGTGAGACACTGCCACTGAAGCTCAAGTGGATCCTGCGCCGGGAGTTCTGGTCCCAGTTCCAGAACTTGCTGAAACAAGGCACCGAGGTGGGGTGTCCCCGTGGTACAGGGGCACATGGGTGTTACAGCTGTATGGGGGCATGCAGGCATCACCCTGGCACAGGGGCACACAGGTGTCATGGCAGTAGAGGCACATGGGGGCATTGCCACAGTACGGGGACATGTGGACATCATGGTGGCACAGGGGCATGTGGGTGTACCCAGGGTACAGGGGCAGGGTGCATCACACCTTGGCCACTGCTCCCACTGGGAAGGAATGGCTGGGGGAGGTGGAGGCATGCCATAATGGCCTTGTACCATTCAGGGGGCTGGGAGGCAGCCCAGGGACCCAAGGGGTGGGCCGCACACACCGGTGTCCGTGCCTGCTGTGATCGCTCTCCACAGCTCCAGCTGAAGTGGTAACAGGGTGCTGGTCTCCAGCAGGGCAGAGGAGCTGTGGGGTGATGCCTCCCCACCCCCGGGGCCTCTCAGTGCCCTCAGATTGGTGGTGAGGGCTCTGCTAATGTGGCATTCCTTCACCATGCACAGATACACAAGGGGTACCTTGACGACCCCCGCAACACAGATAACGCCTGGGTTGAGACGGTTGCTGTCAGCGTGCACTTTGACAACCAGAACGATGTGGAGATGAAGCGGCTGAATTCGGTATGGGTTTCTCACCTTTGTGGTTCCCTGACCTGGCTCTCAGCAGGCATGGGGCAGGGGACCCAGAGCTCCAGACCCAGAACTCGCCCTCGTCAGGAGTGGGCTTCTCCAGCTGCATGCACTGGAGGAAGAACATGGGGATGAACACAGGGTGGCACTGCAACGGGGGCCCCAAAACGAAAGGGCAGGAGGCTGGGGACTAGAAGTACTGTTGAGCGTGGCTGGCATGGCCCCTTGCCAGCAGTGCGTACGTGATGTCTCTGGTCCCCTTCCAGTTCCTTCAGGGCTGCGACCCGGAGCTGTGCATCCGCTGGCAGGTGCTGGACAAGAGGATCCCCCTGCACGCCAATCACAAGGAGCTCCTGCACAAGGTCTCAACCCTCCTCAGCGCCTACTACTGAGTCCTCAAGCACAGGCCAGGGCTCCTGTTGCCCCAAACCAGGTTCTGGTTGGGACCTGCAGCTCTACCCCAGCTCACCTGTGAGACCATGGGCAGCCGCTGGACACTAGGTACTTTGGTTGCCTCCGTGGATGGACATTGCAGGTCTCTGGGAGGAAAATGGTCCCCTCCCCACCAGCCGGGGGCAAGGGGCTGCCTGGGCAGTGCCTACACAGCATCCCGGTCACCCGAGCCACCAAGCTCAGCCCAGCTTGTGTCTTGGTGCTTCCACATCAGCCACAGCACTAGCCCAGGGCTTGGGCCAAGCAGAACCACGGGACTGTTCCTGCAAGGTGTTCCTTCTCTCAGCTCCCACCTGCTCTTTACTTCAGTGTGGGCACTGGGGACTTGCCAGCCTCAGCTACCCCTCCACCCAGGATATCCATCAGGCATCTCTGCTCCCCTGCTCCTGCTCTGAGCCCTGGCAGCCCCACTGCCACAGCTCCTGGAGGATTGCTCTGGAGAAGGCCTGGGGTCTTTTGCACCTAAAGGCCCCGACTGCCCTGCAAGTCACTCCTGTGGCAGCTGTCCCCATATCTCTGTTGTCTCAGACCCAACAACATGGTCCTGAGCTGTGATCCAGCACTTCTGAAGGTGTGAGCAGCTCTTGGCTTATATACGTATGGTTTCATAGCTCTGCACAAATCTGCCCCCCACATCCCATACCGTTCTGTGATCCTGAGTGTGTATGCTGAGCACCATCTTATAGCTGAACTTCTTCCCTCTGTCTGAGCCAAGGCACCAGCTAAATGTTGCCTGCCTACCCCTGTCCCCTTGTGCACATGGATGGAAAGGAGGGGACAGCTTGCTGGGACCCAGGTGATCCATGTTCTGTGGTCCTTTGGGCAGGTAGGGACAGGAGAGAGGACATCAGTGTGTCCATTCCAGACATCTCTGTTCTTAAGGGGTCCTTCACTCACCTTTTCTGTTGCCTGCCATGGGGAGAACACAGTTCCCCCACCCTCTCCCGATGGATCAGACACTGGCCAGCCAGGGCGGTTCTTCCCACAGCGGTGGCCACCACAGCACAACTGCAGTTTCACCAATGATGCCCTGGGGCTTGGTGAGGGTGCAGTCAGAGTGGCAATGTAGTCAACCCAGCTCAATAAACCGTGTATTAAATGACTAAAAGGCTGGTGGTCTGTTACGGCTGTTTAACCAGGGGCCATTCCTGGAGGCAATGCTTGGAGCCCACTTCCAGGACAAGCCCAGTTTGAGCGTTCCCACCCCCAATCTTGTTGCACGAACTCACTTTGCTTGCAGACTCACTGCCCCCCCCCCCCAACGCTGGCTGCAGAGATGACTTGACATGTTTGGAGTCAATGTGAGGAGGTGCTGGAAAGCAAGCTGTGTGCCAAGGCAGTGGCACACTACCTTCTCCCATTGCTCTTGGCCTGCTCGATGACCGCTTGTGGTCTTCCATCACCATGCTCAGCCGAGAGCCAGCGCAGGCGCAGGGAGGGCCAGGCTGGGGGCACAGCTGGGGAGGGAAGAGGCAATCCTGCCTTACAACGGCTGAGAAAGCTTTGCAGCCCCGAACCGACGAGCAGCAACCACAGCCTAAGGAGAATTGCTGAAACCTAATTAGCATCACTCAATTACAGCACAAAAGGGCTCCAAGCAGCCGCTCGCCCACAGCACCCGTGGCTGTGCTGCCTGGGTGGCCCCACCGCCCCGGTCCAGCAGTCTCCTTGTCACAGGGCACCCCCCGATCCCCCCCCCGATCCCGTCTCCCCCGCACCGCCCCTGCATCGCCCGGTGCCGCCGAGGCGGGGACCGCCCGTCCCGGGGGCCCCGGCGGGAGCAGCCGCAGCAACCGGGCGGGTCAGAGCCGCAGCCGG